GTTTTCAACCACTAATTAATAGTACTCGCGAGTGTTTACTCCAGCTTTTAAGGTCATTAAGAGCCTCGTTGTTTCTCTTAGTAGTAGAACTTAATTTTAAATTTAACTTTTTTTCTAGTAGTTTATTTTACAACAGTTATTTTTTATCGCTAAGATACATATATAAAATTTTTACTTACAAATATTTTTTTACATAGTTGTAATTTGAGTTTACATAGTAGTACTATACTCTATCTGCCCCTAACCAAGTGAGTATTGTTTTTTTAAATCTACCTCTACAGTATAACTCTTGGGACTATTTTTAGGTTTACAACCCTACTAGCTAACCCTAGGGTTTTGTTTATATAAGTTTTTACATTCTTGTTCTATTGCTAGGGATGTTTACATAGATATATATTTTGGTCTTTGATCAACCTATTCAACTTGTTGGGCTCTGTTAGGTCGGATATGGATCGCCTGCTAGGCAGGGCCTTCTTGGGTGCCCTTTCGGGGCGGCCTTCATCCTTTCATCCGAGGGCGGTCGCTATCGGGCTGACCATAGATATGGACTTAAAACCCTGTTTAGATAGGACTAAAACTTTTAAGTACCTATCATATTAGATATTTGGATACTAATTATAAATATTAAACGTAGACTATTAATAAAACACATCTATAGTCTTGGACTAATTCGCGAGACGAATCTATTGAACCTAATTAATCCATGATTAGCCTATGTGATGCTACAGTAAACATTCTCTAATTATGAATTAATTAGGCTTAAAAAATTTATCTCGCAAATTAGCTTTCATTTATGTAATTAGATGTGTAAGTAGTCTATATTTAATACTCTAAATAAGTGTCTAAATATAGGGACTAAAGGTAAGTCCCTGGATGCAAAACCACCTTAGTGGCTTCGTGCGGCTCCATGATGCTTCATCGTATTTCGCTCTACTTCGTTGTGCTTCACCGTAGTTTTCTTGGCTTCGCAATGCTCCGTCGTGCTTCGCCGCACTTCTTCTGGCTTCGCTATGCTCTGTTGTGTTTCGTAATTATTTGCTTTAGCATGCCGGCCGAAGGACCTCATAACCTGCCTCCAACATACACTCTTTTTAAACACAGAGATAAGTATTATATGTATTTCTTTTGTTAAAATAAAAAAATATAAGGCACGTTGTATTTAATTAGGACATAATTTTAACCAACAATTATTTTATTAGGACGTAATTTTTAACGTAAAATTTAAAATTTAGGTTATTAGAGTATTTAAAAGTAACTATCCTTTTAATCACACAAATGATATCTTAAAGCAAATTATTAGTCAAAATCTTATCACAACGAAACAAAATATGCCTAATATTTCTTAACGGAGGGAGTAATCGAATCCTCCAGTTGACAGGGACCTTAATTAATCCAGATTAAGGGGGTGTTTGTCTCCCAAACACCCCCCTAAGTTGCATCCAGCTGAACTGCATTTGCAACACTGACAGTATATACGCAGTAGCACAGTACGAGTGTACAGCACCATATCCAGTGGCAGCAGCGTGTACTGCAACTCTGCATGTGAGTACTCCCTCCGTCCCAAAAAAAAATACAAACCCTGGTTTCCGTGTCTAACATTTGACCATCCGTTTTATTTGAAAAAAAATATAAAAAAAATTAAAAAGACAAGTCACGCATAAAATATTAATTATATTTTATCATCTAACAACAATAAAAATACGAATTATAAAAAAATTTCATATAAAACGGACAGTCAAAGTTGGACACAGAAACCCAGAGTTTGTTTTTTTTTTGGGACGGAGAGAGTACCTACCAAAGCCTGCATATCTCCTATAAGCCTATTGGCTCTTGAATACTCCATGCAAACTCATTAATGGAGTATCATTAGGGACAGCTGTCCTGTCATTTTGTGGGGTGCATATACGCAGATTGCAGATATTATCGACCTATAAGGAGCTTCATGCATGCTGATCATGGGAATTATTTGCATCTAATAAATAGAAGCATGCATGCATATACAGCTAATTAACCACTATCTGATTCTTTCAGGTCAGCTATGCAGCAAGCATTCTTAGTCTGAACTCTGAACCATTTTGTAATGCATTTTGTAAACGGTTTATTAGGTTTTTTTTTTGACATAAGTTTATTAGGATTTCGTAGTTATGATTACATGGATGTCCTTCCTACATCTTGTTCGGGGCACTTTGAATGCTGAGAGTCTGGACAAAGATAAGGATAATTTGGACAATACAATCACAAAGATATATGAGTTACAAATTACCAACGTATATGAGAATAGTATGTGAGGACCGAACCCATGTATCAATAACACATACGATGATATTTTTCAACTCTATAATTTTTATGATGGTACCAAACAAATTGACCCATAAAGATTGGAGGCAAGAATGGCGCAATCCAAAGAGAGGACATGCAACGGAGTCCCTTTGCTGGCACTGGCAGCAAACACTAGAGTACAATGTGTGGGCATCTGCAACAGTAGCTGTGTCTGTGTGCATACACCACTGCATTACAGTATATTGTTGTGTAGCAGGGAGCTGTAGTGGTGGTGGTGCAGGAGTGAGTCACTGAGACTGAGCTAAGCTGGTCCTGATTGAATTGAAAGTGTTCTCAAACAAAGACAAGCCAAGGCCCAAAGGGGGTGGTCCTGAATCCCCAAAATTGCTGAAGCCCTTTCCTGAATTCTGAAAGTAAATCTCTGAAGCAGCTTGACTTGAGAGTTGAGACAGCTTCATATGGGTTGTATATATTGACAGATTCATACTCCTTCAGAAGAGATTTTCACTGTTACTACTACCACTACTACCTTCTTTCTTTCCTTTGAAACACTCCCAGTGATATTAGGGGGAAAAAACATAACTGAACAAAAAGTGTATATACATAATCAACTTGAAGTATGTGTGCAATACTGTAAAAGTAACCCAGTCACATTCAGGAATCAGAGTTGTAAACAATTAGTACTGGAGTAGTTGCTTTCACTTCGGTTTTCTTACCACAAGTTTGCATGCTTTCTGTGCAAGTCAAGGAAAATGCACTACCACTAGCTCTGAAACTAGGATTGCTTAATTTAAGGAAGCTTCTAACACTGGACTTGTGAGCTGTCACATACTCACAGATAGCCAGGCTAATCATCTCCATGAATCTTCACCATCACCAATGCAATTAATTTGCTTTGACTAATACTCAAATCTTTGCAGACTCCAATATGTGTGTCCTACAACCCTAGGGCATTGAGCTAGATTGCAGCTCACACTGTCTCCCTTGCAGGGTTTCAGCACACCTAATCCATCACACACCAAAGTCTGAACCAAAACCAAAACCAAAACCAGCTGCCACTGCCAGATAGCACTGGAACCATCAGTAGCTAAAGAGATCCAGAGGGAGATGATGAGATGAGACAATGGTGATGCTGCTGAGGAGAGGGCTCATCAGTGCTGCCTTTCTCCTAACTCTGGTGCTACTGTTCTTGCTGCAACTGGGGATCATCAGTACTACTGTAGGGTGCTGTTCTTGCTGTTCTTTCTGTGGTGATGAACAGCAGAAGCAGCAGCAGCAGCAGCATGGAGTAGGAGATTTGAGGCCTGGGAGAAGGCTGCTGATAGGGCATCATCAGCATCAGGTGGTGCTTGCAAAGGGATCAATGGAATTGAAGCATGCAGAGGAAGGAGGAGATGTGCTTGATGAGGAGAAAAGGGAGGTTCTCACAGGCCCTAATCCTCTTCACAACAGATAGGATGGCATAAATATATAGCTGGCTAGCTAGCTACTTCAGTTTGTTTTTCACATTTCTTCTGAATTTGTTTAGGTCTTGATCTATCTCCTCTACAATTTTTTGATGTGGCCTTTTTGCCCTGCTTGTCAATTCTTTCTTAGCTAGGTGATTACGAATAAATAGTTGTTTGTTTTTGTTCAGTTGTTTAGATTTTGCCGCGAGGCGTGTAACGCTTATGGGTACATTGTTTGAGCCTCACCATCCAATTGAGCTGAGCAATTTGCTGTTCCAAACAATAAAGTTGTTCTTAGTCCTTTCTCATCCTCTCTCTCTCTCTCTCTCTCTCTCTCTCTCTTTTTCTGAACATACTGTACTCGATTAGATAGTATGATACTCCTCTATTTTTCCGTAGAAATTCCTTTACTCATTCACAAACAATATATGCTATTTTTTTTGTTTCTTTTAAGTCTACAATACTTGATGAATTGTTTCTTGAGAAAAATATCACATTACCTCCATTTTTAAGAAATATGACAATGTTAGACTTTTAGATGTAATATTTGACCATTCATATGTAAGTACCATTTGTTTCGCTGTGGATTTTATTTTATTATTAAATGTACTTTAAGCATAGCTTATGTTTTTCATATCTGCATTCAACTTTTAAATATGAAGAATGGTAAAATGTCATGTCCAAAACTCATAGGCTCATAGCGTCATATATTTAAAAGGAAGGATGGAGTAGTAAATTAAATACAAACTTAGGGAGTTTAGCATTTGTAACTAACTTTCTTGTTTACCGTGAGCACGTTTTTTAAAGTGCTAAACAATGCATCTTTTGCAAAAGAAAAAAAATATAAGTTTATTTTAAGAATTAAATAAATTTAATTTTTAAATTTGTAATAATTCAATACTCAATTAATCAGAATCTAATGACTTGAAAAATCCCAGTCCAAACTCCGAACTCCTACGGAACCTTAGTGTAAAACTGTACTAAATCACTACGAGGAGCAAAAGAAAAAAAAAGCCCAATACCGCGAGAAGCAGAGCATCTGCAACGAGGCCCGGAAAAACAACGGCCCACTAATTCACCTGCCAGCCCAACATCTCGCATCCCCTGGCCGCCGCCACGAACATTCTAGAGCTCCCGAGAAAACCCCGAGGTTTACCTATTCTACCCTCACCTAGACCCCTAGGGCTCCACCCTCTCCACACCATCCGGAGGGGCAAAATCGTACTTTCTCGATTGAAAAACCCTAAACCCCCGCGGATTATTATAGAGCCAATCCGGCTCGCCCGCTGGTCCCCCCCGTCACCCACTCACCCGTCTCCTCCACGCCCATCAACTTGCTCCTCAAGAAGAGAGAAGAGGAAGAGCTCGTCGCGGCGCGGCAATGGCGGCGAGGAGGCTGATCCCGTCGATGAACCGGGTGCTGGTGGAGAAGCTGCTGCAGCCCAACAAGAGCGCCGGCGGCATCCTCCTCCCGGAGACCACCAAGCAGGTACCGATGCGCAGACAGAGATCCCCCCCTTTTTTTTTTCGCGGATGGATGTGCCCGACTCGCTTGTGTACTAGCGACTACGAGGATCGCTGATGGGTGCTAGCGGCTAGGGAATATTAGGGATAAAAATTAGAGCCTTTGTTTTTTCTTTTGTTGGTAACTTGCTGGCGGAATTGGAAACTGTCGACTGATTCCTTATGAGGTTTGGGACATAGAGCGGTGATTAGTGAGCGTAGCTGTGAGATGGATCTGGGTGGTTGAGAATTTTGTCAGATAGTGATAGTTTGCTCTGGATTGTTCTGTGTATAGCAGATGGGTGTTTGTGTATAGGTGATGGTTTTTAGCTTATAATCATGTAGATTTCACTCTTTTAAGTTGGAACAAAACCTGTATGATTGATCTTCGTGGACACGCGAGTACTGCACCTTTGGTCTGATTGCTAGACTGTCTCGTCAAACTCCATCTCAGAGTTTTGAAGATAGAAACGTTTTTCTTTTCCGAATCACAAGGAATGATGGGAACAATTCCCCTGTTCCATATAAAATTGAAAATAAGAAACCAGTGTCCCTGCCACTTCAGCAGGTAGAAGCAGAGAATTGTTGCCCATCAGCACACTGAGTCCTCCATGAGTCCTTAGTAAGGTTAAGGTATAGGTTAAGGTATTTAAAACAGTGAACTGCTGATGGTGTGATATCTATATTCTAAGCATGCTAGTAAATGCATACATTGTGTCTGCACAATGAATGAATAATGATGAAAAAAATGTTGGGTTAATTACTTTGTAAGGCTTCTGTCTTTGCATTCTAGCTTGTCCTTGTATTTGAGTGTTATATTTTGATAATAAGGTACATTAAATATGATGATTTGGGAAATTATAGTCTGATATGCTATATTAATTATAGTCTGATATGCTATATTGCTGGTCCATTGGTCATGATTGCATATTCATGTTGGGCTATTATGGTGTATACCTTAATTTTGCAATTCTCGGAACACCAAGCATAGTGATTTTGTGATCCACCTAGATTCTAGGAAGTGTTGTTGGTCCAATGGTGCATCAAGGACTGAATCTGTTACCTTATTCCTATGAATGATGATATGGCATCATCCTGTAATAGGTAGGGGAAGTCGAGTGCCATTATATTTTGAGATGCTTCCTGATTGGTTTTTCTATTTAAAAAATGAAACTATAGTGTGTTTGGTGTGATTGAATGATGGATTGTAGCAGGTGGTAGGTATGGTTTTCTCTTATGTGTTTCTTGTGTTATAATTTGTCTGTTTACTTGAACCCAGCTGAATTCTGCAAAAGTAGTGGCTGTTGGTCCTGGCGAACGTGACAGGGATGGCAAACTGATCCCTGTATCTTTGAAAGAAGGTGACACCGTTCTGCTACCTGAGTATGGAGGAACTGAAGTGAAGCTTGCTGAGAAAGAGTATGTGAAACTGATATAACATATTAATTTAGTCTATTTTCTAGCTAGATGCCTGTTCAAAATTCCTGAATAAACCATTGACAAAAGTTGGCATGCAAAACTTTGTTCTAATAGTTGGTTTAGCATAAGTGACACACTGGTTGGGCTCTTTCCTGACACCCTCAGTAAGCTGTTTGCTTAAGTTGGCAGGTTGCTTGAATGCATTAGCTGCTAGCAGAGCTGCGTAACTCCACTTAACTCAATTGTTGGACATGCCAAGCAAGAATTATGATCTATTAAACCCACCAAATTAATGGTTTATAGATTAAGTATTATTTGCTTCCCCTGTTATTTTGTATCTAATGTTTTGGAATCTACCTGGTCAAACATTGCTAATATGTTTAAATTTATCAAGCTGGAGAAAGCTGTGCCAATAGATTTGCTGTAAAAAATAATTTTGTAGGAGTAATTTTAATTCGTTATAAACTCTTGTTTTTTTCGCTGGGACAACGGAAGGGTTATAAACTCTCTGTGATGTGGATTTAAAGTAATGGTCTCACTCTTGTTTCAGAGGCATTTCAAACTAAAAGTCAATACACCTTAAATTATTAAGAAAAACTCTCATGGCATTTAACACCTTTTCCATGTTGCCTATGATTGTATTGAAGATTTTAAATTTTGGGTGTATATGAGTAGCAAGCTATTATTTTATATTCATGACAAAGCTTAAATAGTACTTCAAGCTATTACTTTATCTTCAAGTCATATTATTAGTTCGTCAGCATACTGTCTGGTTTTTGGTTTCTAGTCTGATTTTATTAGTAGCTATGATTGGAGCTATAGTACTGACTATGCATAGGACTACAAAGGTTATGCTACACAAATGTAAATACTACTGCGTAGCATGCAACTATTTCTATATGCATCTGTTCTTTATTTGAATATACCCCAAAGAAAAAAAATCTGCTTATGTGGTGAACCGGTGATCTAACCCGGCTACGTGAAAACTCCAGGTACCTTCTTTTCAGAGAGCACGACATACTCGGACGGCTTGAGGAGTAACTTGGACGGCTCGACTCGAGGAGTAACTGGGGGTTGTTTGCCATGACCTCATAACTCGTTTATTTAATTAGACACGCTGGAATGTGAGCGTGGAAGTTTTTTTCTGGGAGCAAAAATGCCTGCCTGAATTTGATGTCGTTGTGTCATCGATCGTGAGCATTACTAAAAACTGATGAAACCTTCTCTTTTTGCGCGCCTTATTCATACCTTGAATGGAACTGCCAGTCCAGTTCATTTGTCATGCTCTTTTTAGATCCTGGGGATAGCAGTACCCCAGGTCCATTGTCGCCTTGTCGAGCGCCATTTTTGGCACATCCCGTTAATTTTCGTCGTGTGCCTATGTTGCGTGTTATAACGGGAAAATGGTGACGCCTGCGTATTTGTGCGAGCGATCGAGACAATCACGGCGTCTTTTTCTCAGTCCTCACATCCTCGTTTTTTTTGGTGATCATAAAACCTCAGCTATCACGGGTTACTACTAATTGCTACGACTATTAGGGATACTTGGAAAAGTTTAATGACAAGGGTAGAAGGAATAAGGGCTGTTCTAAAGTGACTTTGACGGTTGATTAGTCGCACGCAAAAGGTATAAGGGATTTTGAGGTGTGACACATTCTTTTACCAAAGTCAAAACGTGCTATGAAAGTAGAGGAAGGACTTGTTTTACGAAATATATCGTCTAGTAGTTTAAAAGAACGTAGAAATCAAAGTGAAAATCTAAACAATCAACTTAGTAAAGGGAGTATAAAGAATGGAGGGAGTCCAAGGACTTGGTTTACAAAAATCAACGTAGCGGAAGGACTTGTTTTATAAAACATCGTCTAGTAGTTTAAAAAAATGTACAAATCAAAGTGAAAATTCAAACAATCAACTTAGCAAAGGGAGTATAAAGGTAATTTACTAATTTTGCATCCGTTTTAAATTTAAGTATTTCTGGTTATACATCTGGGATAAACAAGGTGTAATGTGTGGGTATGATCAGGCTGTGCATCTGGTGGGTATGGCAGGCTCGGTGTACGGCCCATGCAGCACGCCGCGGGCGATGTAGTGGTAGGCGGCCTCGGTGAGATGCAGGCCGTCCCAGGAGATGTACCTGGACGGCTCCGTGCACAGGTTCGACGTCGTGGCGTTGCCGTTGCACACCAGCGAGTCGGCGTTGTAGGCCCCACCCACCCCACAGCACGCCCTCAGAACGCTCTCCTTCGTGAACCCTGCAAATTAAACAGCCACAAGGAAAAAAAAATCAGAACCAAAATCCTGTCAAAGAAGACACAAGGATCGAATGATAAGGGGGAAAAAAAAGAAATTTTACCCAACAGTTATCATCCTAAACAGTGGCGGAGCCAGAAAATCTACACGCGTAGGGCTGAACTAATGAGAGTTCAAATACTTTTAGAAATTACATGATATTTTTCAAGATTATAATGGGGATCATGAAGCCAGGCATGGGGCTCAAGCCCTAGCTACCCCATGCCGGTATCTTGCCCCTGATTCTAAACATTTTGAAATTACATTTACTACTCCCTCTCTCCTAAAATATTAGCAATCTAATATTGAATTAGACACAACACACGGTACTTCAGATTCACAGTACTATGTTATATCTAATCTATAGTAATATGGATTATTATATTTTGAGATGAAGGGGGTAGAATAAGAAAAACATAATACTATGTTACGTCTAATTCAGTACTACTTCCTCCTTCCCAATTTGATAATCATCATATTTACAAATGGCACCAAGATTAAGACCGCACAACATTATTCCTTCTTAAACTAAACATCATCGATCAAGGTGTTGTATTTCATATGCATATGGACATGCAAACATGCAATTGAATGTATGCGAGGTATGCAATGATGTTATTTACTCATGCACATATAAACGAGTAGACATACAACAATGTCATTTATTCCGCACAGATAAACAAATAGACATGCAACAATGTCATTTACTTCTAGACGAATAAATATTTAGACACCACTTCAAATTGATGATCAATTTGAGAAGACCTCAAAAATCTTATAGGGAATGATCAATATAGGATGGAGGAAATAGGTAAATTGCTATATTTTAGAACGGATTGGGTAAAATAGAAAAAAAACACGAACCATTGTTCTGAGGGCTTCGAACTATCTTCAACATTGCTCCATAGTAGTCGGCATAGATTAGGGTGACGGTAGGATCATGATGAATCCTCTGTAACATTTGTTTGAGAGCACGATTGTGGTACTGAGAGAAGTCGTTCAGCCACTTCAGACATCCAAGCTTGTCATAGTCATTGTGGTTCTTGCTAGGGAGCAAGTTGAGAAACCTCGGAATGCAGCCCATTGGCGGGATCCCTGGAACCAGTATGGTCTTGGCACCAAGGTCGATCAAAACCTGTTCATCCATACATAATAAAATGATAAAACATCAGTGGTAAATCGTAGTTAAGTATACTTTTGTTATGAATGTAGTTAGTACCTTGGTGGCATTTTCAATCTTTAAAATCACTAGTGGCACTAAGGGTTTGATCTCAGCTGTGAAGGATCTGTTCTGGAAGAAGTGGTGGTTGTAATCGTTTATGCCTATCTCACCCATTAGGAATAACGATCTTGTCGTAATGTCCTTGCGCTCTGTGTACACACATAGGTGTAGTATAGTGAGAAGAAATACAACGAATCAAAATGGTTAATCAGTAACAATATATTCAGTTATAGCTATCCATTGAAATGTGGCTAACTAATTACTTTAAGGGGCTGACAATACAACATGTAACATAAAATTTCTATCCTAAATTATACAAAATGTCATGTTGGATTTGCTCTGAGATTCATGCGTCACCACTTAACCCTAACTCCACATTCACTTTCCCAACTCCAATTCCTGTGTAGTGCACCGTCGCCCAACAATTCAACATTGGCTCTGTCGATTCCCCTGCCTCCTCCTATACTGCCAGCCCCGGCCTTACTGGCGCTCGAAAGACATCAATTGCGTCACAAAGCTTACCATAACTCTCCCTCTCCACGCCTCTCCTGGCCTCTCACCAACGCTTGTAAAGCATCAATGGCGTCGGCGAGGCTTGCCATACCTCTCCCTCTTCACGCCTATCCTGGCCTCTTAAGCCACCAGTCAAGAGGTGCCCCCACCCTACCATCTTCCCTATCTCCAATGGCTCTCCGCTGCCATATCCATCTCCACTAGTCGCCGCCTTCCTTAACCGCTCGATTCACTTCGCCTCACCGCTAACATTGGCGCACCATCCGCCTGTTCCGTGCCCACTATTTAGCTACCGCTGTCCCTCTAAGACCGGCGAACCCCTTCCTCTTTTCCCTCCCCCACCCTAGGACCCTAACTATTCGGGCCACCACCATCTCGCTGTAGCTGGAGGTGAACTAAAGGACGAATGGTGTTGCGGATCCAACAGTGGATGATTCGATAGAAATCTACACTAAAATTTCTGTACAACGAAGGTTAGCAAAATCCGTTACTTGAATTAGTTTACCTTGGTCAGTAGAGGCGAGCGAGTGGAGCACACCCTTGAACCACTCCAGCTGCACGTCCAGCGAGTATGGCGGAATGATGGTGAGGTCGAGCCCCCTTTCCCTGAAGAAGTCCAGCCTCAGCGCCGTCGCGGCGGACACCGCGAAGTTGGCCCCCCGCCGAAAGTCCTCCGCCGTCTTCCCCCGGAGGTACGCCGTCAAGTACGGCAACCCCAGCGCCTCAGCTGCATATATAGTGATGATATGCATGCGTGTGAGAACGAAGGTTGTTTGTTGCCGCGCATCGCCGCCGGCGATCGACGGAGTGAAGTACTATTACTCTACCTAGGAAGTCGACGACGAGCCTGCCGTCGCTGTAGCGGCCGGTGGGGTGGCCGAAGAAGGTCTCGCCGTAGGGTGGCCTGGCGGCGGGTGCGGTGGGGAAGAAGCTCACCTGGTTGCCGGTGTCGGTGATGGAGTCGCCGAAGCTGAACATTCGCGTGTAGCAGTAGCCGCCGCCGCCGCCGCCCGCCGGCGGCGGCTGGTTGTTAGCATTAGCGACGGCTCCGCGAGTACACACGAGAAGAAGAAGAAGAAGAAGAGGCAGAAGAGGAATCATTATTGCGGATGGGAAGGAAGAGGCCATGGCCGTCGGATTAGCCTACAGCTTGATTATTGCTTGTTGATGCTAAATGGAATCAATTAAGCTTCGCAATCAGTGCTGTGTACAGTGTACACGGTTGCATTGGCAACTTATAGATAGGTATGTTGAAATTAAAATGCATGAGTGTGGATCGGATCAATTGGCAAGAAACACATTGTCAGCTTCTGTCCTTTTTGTTACTATTATTTTTTGGGTTCTTTGGAACATTGGATCAATGTTATGTCAAAACAAGATTTGTTTTGACTTTGACTTAGGATCCGTTTTGTTCAAGTATTCGGATGATAATGCAACAAGCCTAACGAAAATAACCATATACTTCTTTCTTTTACGTTACCCACCATATGATTCCCCATGTGTGTGTTTTGTTTTTTTAAGATCACCTAACAAAAACAAAGAATTCCTTTGTCCAAAAAGAATGTGTGTTTTGTTTTGTTTTGTTTTTTCTTTGGGTGTTAAGCTGAAACTTGAGAATCTATGAGCTGTTTCCGTCGTGTGTATACATGTGGACCAAAAGCTAATATGCAAATTTATTCTAATCGACTGCACAAATTTTTTTTGTCGACATCTTATTTTCATCTCTTAACTATTCACCGAAGTTTGAACGCTTGAAGCATCTGTTGTCCCATCTTGAAGCTGTTGCTTGCGGTTTTTCCTGTCGTGCGTACACAAGCTCGATCTTGCAGCTGATTGTGCTGATGCAACTAAGCAGACTATATATAATTGGACAAAGTCAGATCATAAAGTCTTATCCTAGCCAGGACTATTAATTAATTTCTGGACTTACTGGATCATCATAGCCAAGACATTTTGGCGTTTCAACAAGCAGCAGTAGATTAATCCTAAAATCGTTGTCTTGCATGCGTACCAGTACGATCGAGCAGAGATCGCGTTATCTGAATAATGCTATTCCCTCCGTCCTATAATATAAGGGATTTTGAGTTTTTGTTTGCACTGGTTGACCACTCATCTTATTCAAAAAATTTGTGCAAATATGAAAAACGAAAAATTATGCTTAAAGTACTTTGGATAATAAACCAAGTCACAAAAAAATAATAATTCTGAAATTTTTTGAATAAGACGAGTGATCAAAAAGTGTAAACAAAAACTCAAAATCCTTTATATTATGGGACGGAGGGAGTAGCTAATACGAGTGTCGTTGTACGTTTGCTGAATTTGGACTGCATGTGAAAATTTTCTGAAGAAGATTCTCTTGCTTCAGTCCGATGCATGGTATAAACTGAATAGTAGTTCTCTGTGTGTGTGTTTATGAGAACAAAACTTATACCATATTTGACAAAAAAATAATTATTTTTCAGAGTACAACTAGACATGTAGACACACCAAAAACTATTTTAAATTACAATATATTAGACGCACACACCTTCGATACACCATTTAAAGTTGTTGGCACTATTGTATGTTCTTTTTAAAAGCCTATTGTACATGCAGATCATTTCTTCATTTGGGAGATAAGGAAGGTTGATGAGCATATAGGCCATGTAACATGTGATGGGCCACAAATTTGTAAGCGGCTTCAGTAAGATGCACTCCATCCCACGAGATGTATGTCGATGGGTTAGTGCAAAGATTTGTTGACGGGCCACCGCAACTGAACAATGAGTTGGAGTTGTAGGGCCCACCATCCCCACAGCATGCAACCAAGACAGTCTCCTTCTTGAACCCTGCAATATTTTATAGCAATAATGCAAACGATTTTAATCCAATTTAATTTTGTTGTGTTAATTTGACTGTAGTTCAATCCATACCATTCATGGGGAAACTCCCATGTCTAATATGGCTTACCATGGACAGCAGGGTGATGGGTGATTTCTAAAGCGGTGTTGTAGTAATCACCATAGAGTACGGTAACTGTTGGATCACGACGGATCTGGTGCAACATGCGTTTTAGTGCACGGTTGTGATACACCGAGAAGTCATTCAACCACTTTATGCATCCGAAGGCATCATAGTCTTGCGGACTTGACTTACTTTGGAACATAGTAAGATAACTTGGAACACACCCTATAGGAAAATTTCCAGGAACCACAATCGTCTTGGCTCCTAGATCAATCAGGACCTATATGCACTCAAATACCAGCGAATGTAAACATAACGGAACGAAATAATGGATAATACAAAATTGTAATTGGTAGGGTTTTATATATGTACTTAGGCAAAAAAAAAAAGAACTCACCTTGATGGCATTTTCAATCTTGGCTATGACTTTTGGCACCAATGGCTTGATCTCATTGGTAAATGATCGGTTCTGGAAGAAGGGGTGATTATAGTCATTGCCTCCAACCTCACCCATTAGAAATAGGGATTTAGACATAATTTCTTTGCGTTCTACACAAGACAGTGCAAATACAATTAAGTTATATACAAGATATTGTATAGCAGAATATAAAATTCTAGATATAACAAATTCACTGTTGTAGGCTGCTGGGACTTCTCTAATAATGGCATGTGACCTGCATGCTTCCTCTCAAACACCAACCAATCAGTTATCTGATTTCTTATAAACCATTTGATAACAATGAACATGTAAGGTGCATTCTCAGAAAGTTTTATACCCAAATAATTAATCTACAACTTGAAAAAAAAAGAAGAGTTAAGAAAAATGATCATGAATAATATAAATGCACTGTTTACGGTCGGTCTCACTTTTCTCGACATCTACACGAGTAGATCGAACTTATCATTACATATTTACATATATGCGGTGATAGATATTACCACAATATATATTTGTTGTTATTTTAAATATTTTTTCATTATTATTTTAATGATATATGAGGACCGAGTCAAAGCAACCCTATAGGTAGTAAAAGTGAGATTTTCTCTATTATTAGTTGAGGTTGTTGTTTCATTTTGTAGATATAAACTTTGCTCAAATTTGAAACATGGTATAAATATATTTCATCTCATTTGTGCTTCCATTGATTTTATTCATGCCGTGCATTATAGTCGTCTTTGTTGTGAAAAACCTCATTTTCTCTATTACTTAAAAGCCTGGTCGTCCTTCTTTTACGATACTACCCACTATACTCACACATGTTAAAAGACCTTCCAAGAAAAACCGGCTAGCTCCTAGAAAAAACCGATCCCATAGAAAATCAAAAGAATGCTATAGGTAACCATTGGTCCATAAAAATCTGAACAAATAAAACCATTGTTCATCTTCTCTTAATCCCGTTACTAAAAAAATCATTTGTCGCCACGAAAAAAATTGTGGCATTAATACTAAAATTGTAATAAATAGGGTGTTAATAGGTTATTGCAATAATTTTTATTTAGTGGTAATAAATTTCGATGTCGCCACGGAATGAATGTGGCAAAAAATCATATTAAATCATATTGCAACACTTCACATCATTGCAATAAAAATTATTGCCACCATTCCATATGTGGCATTAGTTCTACGTACCAAATTAAAAGTTCAAATATTAATCTATCATCCTATCTATTTATTTTTTAATATCGTGTCTTGGCTAGGATTCAAACCCAAGACCTATCCTTCATGCATGATCTCCTTTACCAACTCACCTACGCATCAATTCTGTTGAAAAATGCATATCGTTCCATTTGAACCTACCTAATTGAGATTTGAATCATAGATTTGAATATCTAGAAGATTTCAAATGAAAAATTTATCACCTATAAAACTATAGATCTCGTCAAGAGCTATAGTTTTCATATACAATTTCTCAATCGGCGCCCATATGAAAAAATCAAGTTAAATTATGAGACAGCAATTTTTTATTGCGACGAATTTGTTGATCGTGGCAATAAAAAATAGTACCAAAAGTAACTTCACATCTGTGTACTATATAAATTGCCACAAAAATTAAAATTATGTGATAGAACATGTTTTTTTGCAACAGTAACATTTTTTGTGGTGATATCTTATTTTCTATTGCAAGAAAAGTACTAAATAAAACAACGATAGTAAATCGTTGCAATAAAATATAATTATTTGCAACAACAAAATTATCATTGCAATAGTACAATATATTGCTACGAATTATTTTTTTTAATAATTTGGTGGTAATAGCTCAATTATCTTGCATGGACATGGCCCTAGTATAAATAAATCGACTTTGTATTACGGGAGAGATTTGATAATTTGACAGTTTTATTCACTTCTATTATTTAACGTCTTGGTCTATTTTTATTCACTCAGACGGTCATAGACTCCTACATATCAATCCTCACGTGTGTTAATTAAAGCAGTTTAACACTTTAACGACAAAGAAAGCGTTGAACTATCAAATTTCTCGTACGTATTAAGGTATTATACCTTGGTCTGTAGAGCCAAGAGAATTAAGCACGCTCTTGAACCACTCGAGCTGCACGTCCAGCGAGAATGGAGGTATGATGGTGAGGTTGAGCCCCATCTGCTTGAAGAAGTCCTGGCTCAGCGCCGTCGCTCCGGCCACCGCGAAGTTGGCCCCCTGCCGGAAGTCCTCCGGCGACTTCGCCCGGAGGAACGGCGTCAGGAACGGCAGCCCCAGATCATCCGCTGCATATCATCCAACGCATTATATTCATCGCGATCGAGCGTGTGTGAGACTGCTACATGCATTATTGCCGTCGATCGCCGGCGACGACGACGACGTGCTCAATTACCTAGGAAGTCGACGATGAGCCTGCCGTCGCAGAAGCGGCCGGTGGGGTGGCCGAAGAAGGTCTCGCCGTAGGGGAGCCTGTTGAAGGAGGCGTCGGGAGGGCTGATGGTCGCGAGGTTGCCGGCGTCGGTGATGGAGTCGCCGAAGCTGAACATGCGCTTGAAGCCGCCGCAGCCGCCATTGCTGCCGGCGACGTCGGCGGTGGCGGAATTCGTGCAGAGGAGAAGAAAGAGCAGGAGCATCGTCGTTGTCATCGGCGACGAGAGGGAGAAAGGCCTGAAAGAAGCCATCATATCATATCGATATCTATCTATGTAGTGTAGCTAAGCTCATGAAGATCGATCGAATTTATAATACAGTTCATGACATGGTTAATTGTACAAGGACACATGCATGCAGCGCGTAACTGTCATTAACTTTGGGAAGTTGATTGCTGACATATGTGTGCATGATTAATCAAATGGTCAAACAATTAAATGTAGTGTACTTAATGGGAAATTAAAGACCAGTTGATATTTAAGATGGAAATATACATGTATATTGTTCTGTCATCAACAAGCTAAGTCATGAGTTCTTGGTCTGTTAGCTTTTCCCTCGGTTTATCTGCTTGCTACTTGGCCAATTAATTAAAACTACTCATCTAGATAGATATATCCATCCCGGAATGAAATATATAATGCACTTGATCAATTAACTCAAGCTAGCAGTTAGGATTGGGCGAGAGACGAGAGCATGTCAACCCATCGATCGATCGATCGTCAGAGATTACATATACGGAGTATTTAGAACGGTAGTATAAGTATACAATCAGCAGGTTGACAGTATATCTCTGCAAAAAGTCGTAGATCGGCAATGTCCCGGTTGCAGCTAATCGATCGCGATTACCTAGTTGGGATAATTAAGTCGCCGGCCGGATTGATTATGCATGCAGAGCATATATAGAATTTAGGTCAACCTGTACGTTTGGATCATACCATATAGATATGGATCGGAAAAACTGTGGGCGGCCGGCGACCTTGTTTTCGCAGTTTTTTCAGTAGGTGTATATATGTACGTCGTCGTCGTCGTCAGTACTCCGATCCTCAAGAAGGACTCGCAGCCACCCTAATTTATGGGGCTGATGACTTAGTATTTTATTTTCTATCAGAGTTTCTTATCCTTTTTAATGTAATAGAGAGATTTTTCCACATGCCAAGAACATATATTCTTTGCGTTCTACACAAGACAGTGCAAATACAATTAAGATTGAGTTCTATATGAGGTCGTATAGCAGAATATAAAATTCTAGATATAACACACTGTTGTAGGCTGCTGGACTTTTCTAATAATGCCATGTGACCTCACATGCTTCCTCTCAAACACCAACCAAACAGTTATCAGCTGATTTCTTATAAACCATTTGATAACAATGAAACAAGTAAGGTGCATTCTTAGAAAGTTATATATATATATATATATATATATATATATATATATATATATATATATATATATATATATATTCCTCTCTCATGTCATTAATTAGGAATTTTTGCACTTCTTATTGAAAAAATGCTCATTAATTTTACACCCGTAAATTATTTTATTGGAACACCCTAAGTTATTTTTTTGGCTCATGATAGATGCATGCATGTTACAACAGGGTTTACCTTATTGCGCGATAACCGTGGTTACTGCCGGGACATGGTAACGATTTTCTGCGGTATGTTTGGATGAAATTTGAGAAAAAATTAAAATTATGAAAAAATAAAAAAAATCATGGATGTTGTTCTTGATTTGTAGTGGCAGATGGTGATTTTTTTTTGACATAGACTAAGATAAATACAAATTTGAGGGCAAAACCAAAAATAGTTTATAAATTGGAAAAAGAAAAATGTATTGGGTTTAGGTAAAATACATTGTGAAAGATTGATGTTTGTTGAGATATGAAGATTTGTGAAATAGGTGAAATATGGTTTGCTAGTGATGTGGGAAATGGTTTTGTAGAGTTCATGTGTTATTTGTTGGGTGAGTAGATGTACATTTATTGCAATGATAATGGGTCATTTGTTGCTCATGTGAAATATGGTAGTGATGTGCAAGTAATGCTAATTTGTAATTATTATACTATGAAATGTTGAATTGCTTCGAAATGTTGAATTGCTTCGAAGTCCACAATATAGAAAAGGTCATGCCGATTTTTGTATTTTACACTAAAAAGTTAGATTTGTAAGTATCCTATATATTCTTCCAATTACCCCCAATTCCCTTTTTTTGAATTTTTTTCTAGTGGCTTTTCAATTTTATGTGTTCTGCTATACAACTGGCGATAACTGCTCGAATATCATGGTTATCGTCAGAAACCGCACGGTAACCACGCCAAAACCACGAAACCGCCGATTTTTGAATTCAATTTTTTGGAGGTGAATTTCACATGGTTACCTGCGGTTACCGCGGTAACTGCCCTACGGCGGGGTGGCGGTAACTCCCCAAAAAAAGATAAGGGCAACCCCGGTTACAACATACGTCTCAATATTTTTTTTTAAAAAATTTCTCATTGTTTACATAGGTTGGAAATACCAAAGACTGATTTCAATGTTGAGATTTTCAAGCAAACAATCATAAATAAACAGAGTAACAAATTACAGATACCCCGATCAAATTATCAAAAAACTACAGATTAAAATGATGTATTACAAAACTATAGTTTTAACACTAAATTGATCATAAAACTACAAATTTAAGGCCGAGTATGGTAAAACTATAGATTAAGTAAAAAAATTATCACAAAACTACAGGTTTAATGTCAATTTAAGCACAAAATCTGAACGTATATAACTCAAAGATAACATTAGTGCTAAGGATTTAAACCCCAGAATTTGTAGTTTTATGATAGTTTTATTATTAAATATGTAGATTTGTGTTACAGACCCTTAAACCTATAGTTTTCTAATAAATTTATTGTTAAATTTGTAGTTTTGTGATGTATCATTATAAATCTATAATTTTGTGATAATTTAGCTAAAGTATATAAATTTTTGTTAAATTTACTAAAAAAGTATTTTTGAAGTTTGATAATGGTGTCGCAGATGGCTCTAAAAAATTTCAGCTTAAAATACAACTTCTATAAAAAGGAAAAAAAAAAGAGAAATGTCATGATGGAGTAAAGTGGACCATTTTTTATAGTTTAGGAGGTATAATGTGCTAAAAAATAGTTTATGGAGTTAATTGGTCCAATGAAATAGTTGGGGGTGTTCATTACTATTATTTGGTTAATTTACCACTATTCTATTACTGGTCATTTTTTTTTTATTATTTCCATGATTCACACCCAAAAGACTATATATTATACCCTTATGGGAACTGAATATTGTAAAAAAAAACATTTAAACTAATACAAGGCCCTTATGCCCTGATGCTATAATTACAATGAATTATTTTAAGTATTTAATTTAGAGTGTTGCAATGTCAGTTTAAGCATTTCAAAATGAATTATTTGAAGGAAATAAATTTGCATGTCCACATACAAGTATTGCATAGTTCTCATCTTAATGTAATTATTTTGTGAGAAACTTTCAGAACAACATCTTCCCACTGTATTATTTTTCTCAAAGAAAATAATTTTCCCATTTTGGTTTTCTGAAAAAAATCAATATTTTCAGAGCCCATGCATTCTTCAGTTTTGCGCGTTATAGTATCATATTTCTCTTTGTTATGTTATGTTTTAATTTTGAACATCCATAGAAGGGTATAATGGTCTTATAGAGGAAAGCTTAAAAGTCAACCACCATTGACTTATTCGTTACGGAAAAGGATAAATATGCTATCATGGAACAGTGACAAAATGGATGGTACGCTGGCTGGTCATCGTATCTATATCTATACCTAATTAAAAAAATCTATAATGCTTCTAATTTTTTTCATCCGTCTGTTTTTTTCCGTCCAAGTGTGATTAGGGTTAGGGTTTTTGGCACTAACGGTTTTGATGGATTTAGAATCGATCCGACCTGTCCATCAAAATGATTGGAACAAATTGATCCCGTGTTGGGCTGGCCTCCATCTTGGGCCACAGCAGTGCTGGGCCACGTGTGCTTCATAGGCAAGGTGCGCAATAGCAGGCCGGTAGGGTTCAATGGGCCTTTTTTTTTTTTCTTTTTGAGAACCTTTTTAGTTCTAAGGAATATATTTTTTTGAAGGACTCATATCATGAAAAATTAAACCGTAATCGTCTAAGATTTTTATATTTATTATAATTTTAGTTTATCCGTTGCAATGCACGGGCATCTTTTATAGTAAAACAAAAATCCCCGTTGCTTGTGAAGCGTTTGTCTCGTCCGTAGGAACCTAATTTGTTGGCTTTTTCTTCTTTTATAAAGCTGGATTGCAACGATTCTTTTAATTTCTTAAAGTGAACTAATGCATTGCCATGATATTTGATCTCGAAAAAAAATGTGCGCATGTTGTGAGTGTCTACGTTGTGTTTTTTTAAAAGTGAAAAAGAGTAGCAAAAGAGAAAGATGCTAATGTCCAAGATGGAAGAGCAAGGTCGTGACAGTAAGCGGAACAAGGAGAATCTCGGTCTGTCTGTCTCTACTAGAGACCCACCCCTATCACTACTTAAAAAACAGTTTTTACCAGCGCTAACTTTTATTTTCCTAAGAGGGTAAAAGAAAAAAAGTCCTCCTGTAAACACTTGCAAAAATAGTTAGAGATCTGCTGATTTAGCTCCGCCTGCAAAAATTTTTTTCGGATGGAGCCTTAAAAGGACCGCTTACGGAAATAACTTTATTTTCGCAGGCACGGACCTCTTAAGACTTTGCTTGGAAAATTTTAATTTTCGTAGGCGGAATCTTAAGTGGTCGATTTGTCTACAAAATGTGAAGGCGCTAATAAATTTCAGCTAAGTCCGGCGGCTCCACCTCCCATTCTCCCTCAGCCCTCTCTTTCTCCACCTACTCCCTCTAACTCAGACTCCTCTCCCACCTCCATCCCTATCGCACCCTTCTCCTCCGGCCTTCCTCTGCCACACGACAATGACCGCGATGACGACGGCATCAGCGATAGAGATGACGATCGGCCTCGGATGCGCGGATCTGCTGCCATTGGCCTTCCTCGGGAGTGCAGATATGCCGCCTGGCCATGCATCCTTGGGCACGTGGATCCGCCTCGGATTTGCTCGGGAGCGGCGCAGGCGTGCGACGGCTGCTTCGATGAATTTTTTGTTCTTTGATCTCTCTTTATGCGTATCTATGATGAATTTGTTGAATGGATTTGAGGATTGTGATGAATTTGTGAATGGATTAGGGGGATTTTGGATCTGCCTATAGAGGGAATATTTTTGGATCTATCTTTTTTTTTCTGAACTCTGAAAATATTTTCATAGGTGGATCTCTTTAGGAGTTCGCCTGTGAAAATCGGTTTTCGCTAGATGCCGTCAGCTTGCCTATGAAAATACAGTATTTCCACAGGCCTTTACCCTCAGGCGGTGAGGCTAGCTGCCGCGAAAAGCTGATTTGGCCAACTATAAAAATGATTTTTCAAATAGTGTGTAGGGTTAATTAGTACCGGGGCTGCCTTTTTTCACCCATAGGGCTTCCAAGGCGGACCCCGTATATCTTCTGGTGCCAGTGCGGGGTGGATCGTTTGCCCTTTGATCGGGTCCCTTACGGGGTTCGAATAAATTGGAGGCATCAATAATGAGTAGAGAAGAGCTATTGTAGGGAACGTCTAGTGGCTAGAGTGGTGTTAGGAGAGCCATCAACAATGAGTAGAGAAGAGTTGTTGTACTCGTAAAATCTACCAAAGATCAGAGCATAGGTATTGTACTCGTAAAATCTGCCAAAATAGCAATGTTTTCATTGAGACATGCTATATGAAGAAGGATATCGATATTTGAGAGGACATGTTCTTAACGACGTACCTTCCCAATATCTTTTCTCTGTTCCCTCTTCATATCTAAAGTCACAGAATGTAAAATTTGGAGTTTCATCCGCATTAATATAGGCACAAAATAGGATATCACAGGTTTATAAGACATGGGTTAGAGGTTTTTCCCATCAAAAATTTGTTTCGCGAAAGGTCCTACCATAGGCCTTCATCACTAACCAACTGGATTAGTAATTTCTTGGTAAACATAAATTCTTTTTTTTTTGTTTTGCGGTAAACATAAATTCTTGATATCATGGTTTTGTACCCCTAGTCCATCTTGATATTTTGGTTGGCATATCTTCACCATTTGGTTAGTCAATATATTTTTGTAGTTGTCAAATACTTAAAAAATGTGAACAATATAGAAGTCTAGTCTATGAAGTACGCTGTGGAATTTCAAAGGAGAACATAATGAACATGCGAAGGCCTGAAAGAATCGAGTTTAAAACAACTAATAATCGTATGATGTTTCCTTTGTGCTATACTTTCTCTTAAACATATATTCCACTCTTATCCAATAAATACTTTGAAGTTTCTGATAGTGATATGAGTGTACCATGTATTTTGGTTATATGCAGATTTTTTAAAACAGAAGTACATGTTGAATTTTTAAATACGCTCAATTTTTCTCAGCCTCTAGTATATGTTCTATTTGTGTTCTGAAAAATAATTATCCACAGGCTTTCAAGGTCTCAGGCACAAGGGGTAGCCTTCAAAAGATTTGGGGGGGAGGGGAGGTATCTAGGTATCGGCAAAGCAGGGTATTAAATAGACAGAAGAAAGACAACACTACCTTTGGTATCAATTGCAGGTGCCAGCCCAAATGCATAGTGAATATCACTAAAGACTTCGATGATAGGAAGGAGTTGATTGCTGAAATTGGATTTGATGGAATTTTGGATATCAAACTTACTAAGGTAAACAGGCAGTTTGGGGCATGGCTTCTGAGCAAGGTTTTACAGATTTCAACCAAGAGTTGCCATTTGGTCCCAACGATGTCAATGCAGTTTTTGGCTTGCCATGCTCACAAGATGAATTAGACGGGAAGAAACAACTATGATCAACTGACAACTATGCCAAAAAAGATACCTTGTCACCGAAGTTCCACAACCTGAATCATGCGAGCCAACCATCAATGGCACGTCCTCTTCCATAGCTACAGGGCTGCATATCACAACTCAATATGTATCAGTATCGGCCGATTATTTCTAGAATTCTGAAAATATGGTATGTTGATCGATCTCACCTTGTCTGAACACCATGTGGGATTGACTCACCATCCAGTATGTCCAAGGAAGGGTTGCATTCATCCATAAGAATTTGCCTGAATCAATGATCCAGAATCATTCAAGTTCACACCCATAAATCCAACGAAAAAAAATCAATCATCAAATCAGAAAAACATACCTAGACCCTGTGGTACCATCCAAAGGGATGTGGTTCTTCACTCCTTCATCCATCCAAAATCACCAGCGGCGTAAACTTGACCTGGACGGAGCAAACCAAAATCCTAATGAAGCAGTATGTGGCTTTGTTGATGCAGATACCGTTCCTCACTGACCTATTCTTCAGGTGGTTAGTTATGCATTAGCGGTAATTAATCACTTTTCAAATTAATAATACCATGCATCATTCGGCTAATGGGTACATACTGCATGGCTCTGCACTGCCAACCCGTTAATAGGTACGGATCTCAAAGTTAATCAATGGTACGAGGGGAGAGAGTATGTACACCCGGGTATATATAACAGTCTTCCTATACATATATTCTCAACATTATTATGGTTGCCAATGATTCTTCATTTACTTCATTTTCTCATCACTGTTTTCATCACTTTGTGTATAAATAGTTGTTTATTTTCCAGTTTCCCACCTTCTTTATGGCTCATACACATGAGGCAAATACTTCAATATCAAATAATCTCAGTTGATTGGACAAAATCTATATACAAGTCGTCTTCCAGTTTATGACGAATACATGAATATAGTTAAGGACCTATCTGCAATGATCTAATTATTTCAACAAATAAATAATTTATGTAATTATATTTTTCTTGGATATATATATTTTTCAATTAATAGGAATCATGTGATACGGAGAATTTTGTTCCAAGATTAGTACAAATAAACCCTGACCTTTCATCTATTTTCTTCCTAACATCTCCTTGCAATGTAAATATTAGGTAGCAACCTAACATTCTATCGATAATTTCCTACACGGTATAATTTTATCTCTCTACTATAACCAAGTTTGGCAAATTATTATATTTGTTGTCAATAGCTCGACTATTTAAAAGAACACGCGAAATATTACTTAGCAATCCCCGCAGCAAGCGTGGGGTATCACCTAGTTTTAAAAATGATCTCATCCATATTTTTTCTATGCAATTCATTGATAGTCTCATGTAAAATTGTCACCCCTTTCATGATATTTTTGCCAGAGACAAATATTGTCTGAGTTGGTCAAATGACATCAAGGACAACTGTAAGATTGATTAGATCTCGTTATTTGTACTTGCGTGTACTGCACTTGGGTTGTCCGTGAAAACTTTCTGAAGAAGAGTTAATTCGTTTCTTGGTTCATTCTCATGTATGGTGTAGCTACTTGGTCTTGTTAGACATGCCATATCACTACTACATAAAAGGCCTTTGGTGCCGGTTGGAAAACCCCCTTAGGCACCGGTTTTTCCAATCGACATCAGGGGGGCGGGACTGATTAGCCGGGGTCAAAGCTGCCGGTTGCAAAACCAACACCTTTGATGTGCCCACGAGCTAAAAAAAAAATCGGCTCGACGCATCGAGCCGATGCATTATATTGAGCTATAAAGCCGATCCCAACTAATATCCAAATCCCAAAAATTTCTCAAATCCATAAACATGAACTATAGTCAATAATCCTCAGAAAAACAACACAAAATTTTCTCAAATCCATAAACACGAACTGTAGTCAATAATCCTCAGAAAAACAACACATCTAGGTCAACAATAGATCACATATACATCAACAAATCACAAAGGAGGGAGGGAGAGAGACGGATACGCTGGCGGCCGACGCCGTCACACCTCCAGCTGACGGCCCCACCTCCACAATGGCTGTCCTCGCCATGCCCCACCTCCGGATCCCCGCAGCCGAGGGGCTAGCACCGCCACGTCGCTAGATCCGGTGCAGGCCACCTCCATCCCAATGCCACACGCCGCCTCCCGCCGCAAAGGGGCGTAGGCTGCCTCCCTCTTGCCGCCGCACGCCATCTCCAGGCACGGGTCGCCGCCTCCCCTCCCGCTAGATCTGGCGGAGGGGAAGACGCCGCCGTGCTACCGCCGAACCACCGCCTCCCCTCCCACTGGATCTGGCAGAGGAGAGGGCTCCGCGCATGCTGCCGCCGTGGTGGATGGAGGAGGAGAGGAGAAGGTAGAAGTGGAAAGGAAGAGAGAAGAAAGAAGGAGAGAGAGGAAAAAGAGAAGAGGAGAGAAGAGGAAAAAGGCGTGGTGAGTGAGTGGTTGGTGCGGTGGGCTAAGCCCACCGGTTCGGCTCAGCTCACTGTATAGATGCCTGTTTTTTTTAAAAAACCGGTACCTATAATATATTATAGATGTTGGTTTTGTTATGTTTTCAGTCTATAAGAGGTGGGAAAAACACTTTAGGTGCCGGTTTTAGCTGTTTCGGCACCTATAATACTGACTTATATTAGCTATTCTTTAGTAGCGTATCAAAATCTCGTAATATGCATCCTATTCTCAGGCAAATTCCATGCATACAGAGCTATCTATCATTGCATTTTCTGAATTAGTTTCTGGTCTAGATTGACGTGTAGCTGATTATTCACAAAATAAATTTCAAAATTAAGAACAAACTTACTTCTTCTGTTTCAGATTATTATTTGTCATTCTAGGAAATTTAACACCAAACAAGAAAATGTCACAACTTAATTATATTGTTACCCTCATGAACTATATCCCATTAGTTTCCAAAGTAACATTAACTCTGATTATCCAGTTGTGCATTGGTGCATTAATAAAAGGTAAAATGGAAGGTCACCTTTAAATGATCAGTATTTTGATAAAAGAAAATTAAATGTGAGAATGACAACTATTTTGACAACAAAAATTAAATGCTAGAATGATAACTAATCTGAAACGGATGGAGTATATGGTATATATATATATATGTAAATTGATAAAAGTCAATTATTTGAAAGTATAATTGGGCGCACACACTCGCGCATACACCTGTATACGTATAGGTGATTAAAGTTGCTAGCACCATTATATGGATTTTGAGCTAGTAGTACATGAAATCATTTAGAAGATATGGACGGTTCAACAAATATGGTCCGTGCAACATGTGATGGGCCACGAACTTGTAAGCGGCTTCGGTGAGATGCAACCCATCCCATGATATGTGTGTTGATGGGTCGGGCAAAGATTCATCTACGAGTTGCCACCCTTGTAGCATGCCACAAACACAGTCTCCCTCTTGAACCCTGCCACGAACAACAACCACCCTAAGTGATTTTGATTTATATTTAACTGTGATTGAATTCATGCCATGCATCAACAAAGAAACTCTTTTTATCCCAGGACAGCTTTACCATGTATGGCAGGGTGACGGGTGATCTCTAAAGCGGTATTGTAGTAGTCGACGTAGAGTATGGTGATTGTAGGATCGTGAGGGATCCGATGCATCATGCGCTTGAGCGCATGGTTGTGGTACTTGGAGAAGTCATTCAACCACTTTATGCAGCCAAACACATCGTAGTCTTTAGGACTTAACTTGTTTGGAAATATCCCGAGATAACCTGGAACACACCCTATAGGAAAATTTCCTGGAACAATAATCGTCTTGGCTCCTAGGTCGATTAGGACCTGTATAGGCACTCAAATACCATAAAATGTAAACATATATATGGGATGAATTGCTATAAGTAATATAAGATTTTACATGTTAGGGTTTTATTTATTGATTGGTGAGACCGAAAGGAAGCTCACCTTGATAGCGTTCTCAATCTTCGATATAACTTTTGGTACCAATGGCTTGATCTCATTGATGAAGGATTGGTTTTGGAAGAAAGGCTGATTGTAGTCGTTTCCTCCAATCTCCCCCATTATAAAAATTGATTTAGACATGATTTTCTTGCGTTCTACACAATTAAAGTAGTGCAAGTATAATTAGAATTACATTTGATAAGAGGTTTCACATCATAATATAAAAGACTAGTCCATTGATTTGGGAAACTATCTAGTGTATTTTAGAATAAGTGGTACACACCACCAGACTTCTTTACTAAGGGCATGTGCCCTTAGGTCCCTGAGATGCTTCGTCCTACCTCTCAAACACTAAATAAAATAGTTATAACTGTAGTCATGTACAATCTCATAAAGGATCAAATCCAAATGATCTACACATTGAGAAATAAAAATGGCTGCTAATAGTAAACATACTGTTTAGAATTGGCTTCACATTTTTTTCTTTGTTGTGTAGATCAAATTTATCATTAAATACACTTTTTGCTATTTTTAAACATTTTCCACGACTATCAAATTAATGATAAATAAAGAACATGATAACTAATATCCCTTAAGTTGTAAAAATAGTTTTCCCCTATTGTTAGTTGAGGTCGTTAATTATTGTAGGTTTTTCATGTCATTATAAACTTTGTTTACACTGGTGGAGAAGGCATCTTTAGTCCCGGTTGGTAGCGCCAGGTGGCGCCGGGACTAAAGGTTTTTTTTCATTGTTTTCAATTGATTGCATATTGATTCCCCTACATCCCCAAATCATCCCCAAATCACAGCATATCACAGATCGGATTAAATACATCACAAATTCTCAAAAAAATACATAAAAAATGTTAGTGATATCCACAAATCATCCCCAAATCACGGCACATCACATATCAAATCAAATACATCACAAATTTTCAAAAATAATATATCACAAATTCTCAAAAAAACAAATTCTTCCTCTGTCGAGCCGCCGTTGCTCCACCGCTATCGTCACCCCCGCTTCCGCCGCTTGCTCGCCGCTTCTCCTGCCTGGCCGCAACCCCCGCTTCCGCCGCCCGGTCACCGCTTCTCCTGCTCGGCCGCTACCGCCTCCCCTCCCGTCAGATTTGGCAGAGGGAAGGGCGAGGCCGCCGCCTCCCCCGCCCGATCGCCGCTGCTTCTCTCGCCCGCCCGACCGTAGCTTCTCCCCAGCCGCCGCCGCTTATCCTGGCCGGCCGCTGCGAGAGAGAGGCGACTCAGGCGAGAGAGGTGGAGATCGACAGAGAGAAAGAGCAAGCGAGATAGAAGAGAAAGAGGTGAGAGAGGCGAGGAGACAGAGAGCGAGAGAGATAATTAAGGACGTGGGAGAGAGATATTTAGTCCAGGTTGGTGATATCAACCGGGACTAAAGATATGCGGTTGGTGTTACTGGGGGCCTGACAGCTATTCAACCGGGACTAAAGATGAGCTATTCAAACGGCTGGGACTAAAGATAATAAAGTGTCATTGGACTTATAAATCGGGACTAAAGATATTCTTAGTCCCGGTTCTTTTTCGAAAAGGGACTATTGTGATTTTTGGCCAACCCAGCAAAGACCATTTCTCCAATAGTGTTATATTCAAAGCACTCCATAGAAACAATTTTTTTTTAGAAATACACTACAAACACAGGTGTTCACAGCATGAACACTCACCCCTATAAATATATACACACATATCCTGACCTATGAACTCCTTCAAAAGGCTATATCATTTTAGACCAAAATAAACAAATTTCATCTCATTTGCGCGCATCTTTTTTTTTTCTCTGAGTGTGTGTAGCCGTCTCTATAGGGAAAAATGTCTTAATTAATTAATTGTCATATATGCCGGCTTTGATTACCTTTGTCTGCGGAGGCAAGCGAGTGGAGCACGCTCTTGAACCATTCCACCTGCACGTCCAGCGAGTATGGCGGTATGTTGGTGAGGTCAAGCCCCATCTCCTCGAAGAACTCCCGCCTCAGCGCCGTCGCTCCACCCACCGCGAAGTTCGCCCCATGCCGGAAGTCCTCCGCCGCCACCGTCTCCCGCCCGCGGAGGAACGGCGTCAAGAACGGCAGCCCCAGCTCCGCTGCACGCACGCATTCATGGCGCGCTAGCGTGTGTGTGAGATCGAAACGAACAGCACTACATTGCAGCTAGCTAGCATGCACCGCCGGCGCCGGCGATCGCCGGCGGCCGGCGGCGAGCGTGTTACCTAGGAAGTCGACGATGAGCCTGCCGTCGCTGTAGCGGCCGGTGGGGCGGCCGAAGAAGGTCTCGCCGTAGGGGAGTCTGTTGAAAGAAGCGTTGGGGCTGATCGTCGCGGAGTTACCCGTGTCGGTGATGGAGTCGCCGAAGCTGAACATGCGCGTGAAGCAGCTGAAGCCGTCGTCACCGCCGGCGCCGGTCGCCAGGTGACCACCACCACCGGAGTTGGCAGCGGCGGTGGCGGAGTGCGCGCAGAGAAGAAATAGTACAGGAATCATCGTCGGCGAGGAGAGGGAGATGGACGACCTAGAAGAAGCCATATGGATATCAATATAGCTGAGCTGCCTCTAGTGTCTGGCGAGCTATATATAGCTCATGAACGGATCGGCAATTTATGTACAAAGTCCCTCATCACATGGTTAAATTGACAAGAGATACACATGCATGCAGCGAGTAATATAATCCTCGTATTCTGCAAAATTAATAAAATGGTCAAGTTAATAAGAGGGAGAAAAGCGGCGAGAAAGCTAATTAGCGCGTCCCCGGTGCCGGCGCGCACGCGGAGCGCTTAGGGTTTTTTTTTTCTCCAGGTTAGGTTTCTTTTTTCTTTTCCTGATTTTTCTTTCCGCGTATAACTAATCCGATTAGTCTTTTTTTTTAAGATTTCTTTTAAGTAACAGATTGAAAAGAAATCTATATGTGAAGTCAAATTTTGAAAACTTTCATCTCGAAATTTGAATTTGTTTGAACTCAAAATTTGAAAACTTTCAACTTTTCATCTCAAATTTGAAAAACTTTCAACTCAAATTTAAAACTTTCAACCTAGATTTGAAAACTTTCAATACAAAATTTAAAAACTTTCAAGTCAAAATTTGAAATCTTTTGAATCAAATTTAAAAACTTTCACTTCTACATTTGTAAAGAGGTGTGTGAAAGATTGAAAAAAAATCGAAAAGAAACGGAGAAAAAAAAAGGAAAGCATGCGAGCCAAAATCAGGAAAAAAAGTACGAAAAAAAGAAAAATAGCGAAAAAAAGACACGGGGAGAGGCCCGGCTGACGCGCGCGCCAGCTAAATTGCTGGCGCGTACGCGCCTATTAGCACCCCCGAAAAGTGGAGATCGGTTGACATTTAAGCCTAGTTAATTAGTTTAATTCCCAATAGAGAGGGATTGAAGGAGGAATAATTCCACATCATAATAGGTATAAAATATATCTCCTCTAAATCCCCTTCCCTTGTAAGAGGATTAACTGAACAAGACTGAGAAAACATACTATCGAAATTTCTATCTAATTGTATTGTATGTAATTCGAATAATTTTTTAGCCGTAAAAGAGAAAACCTTTCTAGGAGGTGCTTTTGTTTATCTTCATCTCTATATCCCAATAAGCTGTCTATCAAATTATTTTAATTGATGTTCAATCTCGAAGAGAAGAAAGATAACTTTGAAAATGTGCAGGTCGGATGTTTGACGAATATGGAGTGCGATTCCGATGATATAAACATACTCTTATTAGAAGCCTGTGCAGCTAATTGGGGTAGCCAATAAATTAAAACCATTTGTTCTAATTAAGTAATACGAAGTTAAATAATACTCCCTCTGTTTCAGGTTATAAGTCGTTTTGACTTTGGTTAAAGTCAAACTGTTTCAAGTTTGACTAAATTTATAGACAAATATAGTAATATTTACAGTAATAAATTAGTTTCATCAAATCAATAATTAAATATATTTTCATAATAAATTTGTCTTGGGTAAAAATGTTACTACTTTTTTTCTACAAACTTGATTAAACTTAAAGCAGGTTAACTTTGATGAAAGTCAAAACGACTTACCTCAAATAGAGGGAGTAACAATTTATAATACTCATAGTCGATATGCTGGTCTATGTTAGACCCAACTTAGGGGGTGTTTGGATTGGGCTAAAAATTTTTAGACCCCTATCACATTGGATGTTTAGACACTAATTAGAAGTATTAAATGTAGACTAATGACAAAACCCATTTCATAACCCTAGACTAATTCGCGAGATGAATCTATTTAGCCTAATTAATCCATGATTAGTCTATGTGATGCTACAGTAAACATTCTCTAATTATGAATTAATTAGGCTTAAAAAATTTGTCTCGCAGATTAGCTCTCATTTATACAACTAGTTTTGTAAGTAGTCTATATTTAATACTCTAAATTAATGTCAAACATCCGATATGATAGGGACTAAAGTGTATTCCCTTATCCAAACACCCCACCCGAGCAAACAACCGCCATCTCACTACACACAGTTGTATCCTGGATTCAAAAGAACTATCTGGATACTTTTTCCTTCCTTTTGATATATTTTTTCTTTTTTCACTTTTTTTTTATTTTGGCTGTTTTATATTTTTCTTTTTGGGTTTGCCTTCTTTCCTTTCCTTTTTTGCCCGAGCACATTTCTGTCTCTTTTTTTTTTCTTGTTTCTCTGGTTTTTTTTAACTAAAAGGACAGCAAAGACTAAATATTTAAACTGCCAATCTACAAGGACTCAAAATGAAAAAGTGCAAACCTAAGATAGAACTGCTCAAAAAAAAAAAAGAAGAAGAAGAAGGGAATTCTTCAGTCGTGCAGCGGTTTCGTTTGTGCCATCGGCCGGCCCATCGCATCTCAATTCCGCAACTTGGAGGGAGGACCGGAGGAGGACGGGCTCGGCGGACCTGCTGCTAGTGCTGGTGTGTGTCCCGGCCTTAACGTGGAAGCGTGTCCCGTTCGATCTTGCGTAGGAGGTAAGAGAGAAGTACGTGTTGTTTGAGGTTGAAGCGTCCTCAATATCCCTCTCTCGATCGACGACTCTCGATCGGTTTCTTCCTGTGGCTCATTTCTCTCTTAATTCCAAGGAAAGGAATAAGATCACTTTGACTCCCTCAACTGATCACCGAATCTAAATCGTATTCCTTAACCGCAAATACCAGAAATCTTGGCCCCCCGAACTTGCAAAACCGATGCAATTTGACTCCCTCACCGGTTTTGGGAGGTGGTTTCGCTGATGTGGCGCCACGTGGCGATATTGACCGAGTCTTCGGTCCACGTGGCGTTGACGTGGCACTTACGTGGCAGTAGAATTGAAAAATATACGTGGGACCCATTAGTCATTCACACAAAAAGAAATGTGGGCCCACTGACATGTGGGGCCCACATGTCAGTCCTGTCCTCCTCCCTCTCTCCCTTCTCTCTCTTTTCCTCAATCTCTCCCCTTCTTCCCATTCGGCCGGCGGGCGGGAGGGCGGCGAGAGCGAGCGGCCGGCCCGGCTCGGCCTCGATGGGGAGGCGGCAGCGCACCGCCGGGGTCCATCGACGATCGCAACGGCGCATGGACGAGGGGAGCGGCGGCAGCCATTGGGGCGCAGCGGACCCGGAGCGGCGGCGGCCATCGGAGCTTCTTGGGCGCCGCCAGCGCCGAGCTGACGGCGGTCGAGCAGTGGAGCAACGCGGCGCACACGAGCAGGACGACGCCCCGGCCTTCTCCAGCGGCCTTCTCATCACCCCTCGCGCCAGTCGCTTCGTCACCGACGACGACCCCGCGAGCCGTCAGAGACCATGCCGGTAACCGCGAGGACGATGATGATGAGCGGCAGCGCGGGCCGCCGCCGTCGTTCCACTCGTCCTCCCACTGCCGCGAGTCACCGCCGCCGTTCCCCTCGTCCTCCCACTACCGCGAGCCACCGCAGCCGAGCCGCCGTCGTCCTAGCCACCGACCGCCGCCCTCGATCCGCTTCCGATGCGCCCCGATGCCGCCAGCCGCCCTCCTGCCCGTCGGCCGAATGGGAAGAAGGGGAGAGAAAGAGAGAGAAGGGAGACAGGGAGGAGGAAGAGGACTGACATGTGGGCCCCACATGTCAGTGGCCCCACATTTCTTTGTGTGAATGACTAATGGGTCCCAGGCATATTTTTTAATTCTACTGCCACGTAAGTGCCATATCAACGCCACGTGGACCGAAGACTCGGTCAATATCGCCACATAGGTGCCACGTTAGCGAAACCACCTCCCAAAACCGGCGAGGGAGTCAAATTGCACCGGTTTTGCAAGTTCGGGGGGGTCGAGATTTCTGGTATTACGATTGAGGGATACGATTTAGATTCGGTAGTCAGTTGAGCGAGTCAAAGTGATCTTGTTCCCCAAGGAAACAACTCGGGCCTGTTCCATTGGCCCAAATCAAGGGTGTAAGTGAATTGATCCGAACCCCGTTTGTAAAACAATTAAGTGGGTAGCCCACCAGATTAGGTTACCCAATTATATGATCTACAAGTATGGTCATGGGTTAACCCACTTATACCCTTAATTAGGCAGTTAGGCTGGGATCTAGTCTCCTGGTTGAAAATGAAAATGCTACAGCTCGAGCGTTTGCGCTGGCAAATTCCACAGCATCGTGGTCACAAAGCTAGCTAGCGTTGCATTTGCTGAATTCATTTGTTGTCTGGAGTAATGTGTAGTTGATAATTCACAAATAAAACTATAAAATTATAAGAAGAGTAGCCCTATTCCTTCAGTTTCAAATATTTATCATTCTAACAAATTTCAAACCAACCATTTGATACATCATATTTTTTACCCTCATTAACTACATCCCAATAGTTTGCCAAAGCAATATTAACTCCAATTAACATTAGTGCATATTGTTGTATTTATGAAGGGTAGAATGACAATTGTTTTTTATAAAATAAATGAATGTTAGAATGACAAGTAATATGAAATGGAGAGAGGATACCGAATATATGTATCGGATCAAAATCAATTATTTCAAAGTATAATTACACAGACACACGTAACATATATATAGATCAAAGTTGATGGCACCATTTTATGGGTTTGATGCTAGTAGTACGTGAATCATATGGGACATATGGACGATTCAACAAAAGGGTCATGCAAGAAGTGATGGGCCACAAACTTATAAGCGGCTTCAGTGAGATGCAGTTCATCCCACGATATGTATATCGATGGGTCGGGGCAAAGATTGCCGTTCATGAAGCACGGCACTAACATAGTCTCTCTCTTAAACCCTGCAATGAACAACAACAACTTCAGGTGATTTTAATTTTTATGTAAGTGTGACTGAATTCATATCTTGCATGAGTGGAGAAACTCCCTTGTCCATGTAAGGATTTACCGTGTATGACAAGGTGACGGATGATCTCTAAGATGTTATTGGAGTAGTCACCATAGAGTATGGTGACCGTAGGATTTCGGGGGATTTGCTGCAACATGCGCTTGAGTGCACAATTGCGGTACTCAGAGAAGTCGTTTAACCACATTATGCAACCAAATGCATCATAGTCTTCAGGAGCCGACTTGCTTTGAAACATTGCAAGATAATGTGGAAGACACCCTACTGGAAAAACTCCTGGAACAACAATCGTCTTTGCTCCTAGGTTGATTAGGACCTGTTTATGCACTTCGATAGCATAAAAAGTAATCAAAATGAAATGAAATGGTGGTTAATATAAGAGAGTAACCTGTTATGGTTTTTTATCCACAGATAGGTCAGACCAGAAAGGGTGCTCACCTTGATGGCATTCTCAATCTTCGCTGTAACTTTTGGTACCAATGGTTTGATCTCTTTGGTGAATGATCTGTTCTGGGTGAAGAGATAACCGTAGTCATTGCCTCCAATCTCCTCCATTAGAAACAAGGATTTTGACATGATTTCCATGCGTTCTACATAAGATTGTGCAAGGATAATTGAAATTAGGTTCCATAAGAGGTTTCGCATCATAATATATAAGGCAAACACATTGATTTGGGAAACTATATATCTACTTTATTTCAGAATAAGTGGTATAGGCCATCAGACTTTTAATAAGGGCATATGTGCCCTCAAGCCCCTCACATGCTTCCCTACCTCTCAAACAATACATAGTCATAAGATTTCTTTAAAACTATTAGATAACATTGTACAGTCATGTATAGTCTAACAAAGTTTTGAATCCAAATGATCTACATGTACATTGATAATAGTAAATGTATTGTTTAGAGTTCGCTTCATTTTTCTCTTTCTGCGATGATCAAATTTATCACTAAATATATTTGTCACTATTATAAAACAATTTTTTCATGTTTCTTTTAGAAGGGTATTAATGGGTCAAAACCTTGGCTATGGCAGAACTTGGTTGCTAATATTGTGCAAATTAATCTACTAGATGGAATCTTCATCAGAATGGCTAATTTTTTATCTACTCTATGTATTAAGCCCTGATCAACAATGTTATATATAGAGAGAAATAAGGTTTTGTGAAAATTGAAAATGCTTCATAAAGAAATATCTTTATGCCGTATTTATTTAAAGGGGGTAATTTTAACCAAGGATAAATCAGCACGGAGAAACTTAATGGTAATTAAATTGTTGCTTTTGTATGCATGAAGAAACTATCCAACATTTGTTCTTTGATTGTTATGTTGCTAAATTTCTTTGAAGAACTGTTCATATTTCCTTTTGATTGAAGCCACCTAATATTTTCTTGCATCTATTTGAGAATTGACTCAAAAACCAAAAAAGTATATTTTGGCAAGGGCATTTGCTTTATGGGTTATATGATTTACAAGTAAAGATATGGTTTCTAGTAAAGCTCCAACATACGGGCTTCAGTTTTGAACCAAGCACAAAGATGTGTGACGATGACTAGGATTTCATACATGTTGCATGCCAGAGTATGGAGATGACAATTAGGTAAATTCCTGACCATCCTTGCGCCGTTTCCATATAAGTGGTACTGTTTCCAACCATTACCCTTTTTACCTATTTTAAATTTTGATTTTTCTAATTTCGTTTTAGCATCATATTGATATTGATATTGAATAGTTTAATCGATAAATATGGTTAATTATCGACTAATTGAGATTCGTTTCCAAAGAGATGCTACGGATTCAGATTCTGCCCATTTTCATCCCCAACGACGGTTGGCAATTTCGGATGGAGATTCACTAATAGTATTGCTTACTAAAAAAAGATGTATCTCCTTTTATTGTGTTGGTGTTGGTTAAGATTGTTTTCTTGCCATCCGTTATTAGTATTTGACTTGGTTACGTCAAGGAAATTATACTCCCTCCATCCAAAAGTCTAAGACCTGTTTCTTTTTACACCAAGACCAAGGAGCAATTAATTCACTCACCATGTGATAAAACCAATTAGGAGTTGATATTTTGTGAGACGGAGGGATTTCATTACATGCAACCAATACTCCCTCCATCTAACAAAATATCAACTCCTAGAATCCCAAGAACAAAGTAATGGAGAGTAAAAATGACGAAAATACCCCTCATAAATCATGATTAGAAAAAGTAGTAATAGTGATAGGTAGGTAAAGGGTATTTGAGGGATAAAACTTCTCGTTTTATGTGCTGAGAGTAGGTAGAGTGGTAGAAGTTGATTTTTTGTGGGACAAAATTCAAACTCCAGAAGTTGAGTTTTTTTTGGACGGAGGGAGTAAGTACTAAAATGACTTCTTAAGTTTCGATTAACAATTTAATTTAGCACATGGTGACTACAAATAGCAAATAGACTTTTGGAAAAACCAAAGAATGAAATATGTCTTAAACTTTTGGAAGAAGGGAGTAATAAGTAACTATAGCTTCTGTTGACATAAAACTGCATTATCCATTACACAAAATAAAATTGGTCGAGATCGATGTAGTTTTTTAATGTCAGTGGTAAATTTTGTTCAAATTCGAAGGGCTCCATATAACCATATTTCATCTATTTCTCAGACGAGATAAACCTTTTTCATCACATTTGCGTGCTTCATTTTTACTTCTGATTCATGCCATGTGTACCACCCTCTTTAGAGAAAATGTTTATTTTGTTAATTACATACCTTTGTCTGTGGTAGCGAGCGAGTCGAGCAAGCCCTTGAACCACTCCATCTGCACGTCCAGTGAGTATGGCGGTATATTGGTGACGTCAAATCCTTTCTCCTTGAAGAAGTCCCGGCTCAGCGCCGTCGCTCCACCCACCGCGAAGTTGGCCCCATGCCAGAAGTCCTCGGCCGTTTTCCCGCGGAGGAATGGTGGCAAGAACGGCAGCCCCAGCCCCACCGCTGCACGCATGCATAGTTATCGCGGGTGTAAGAACTACTACCTCTACCTCCATCCTAAAATATAGCATCATAATATCCGAAGGGATTCCCACAGGGAGCAGCAAATATGTCTTATCGCATACTAGATTGCTATATTTTAAAATAGACATAGTGCTCCCTCCGTCCCAAAATATAAAAGATTTTGGTTTAGATGAAATATATCCTAGTACGGTGTCCCTATGTATATTCGAAGTACTAGGATATATCTCATCCAACTAAAATATATTATATTTTGAGATGGAGAGAGTAGCTAGCTGGATGCATGCAGAGGACGACGTGTCTGTGTGTATACACTCTAGCAAAATGCCGGTGCATTGCACCGGATAATGATGTGTAGCTGAAGTTTGATATCAATTATTTATCTAAGCACCCGAGCATGATCATAGGCATCGGCAATGTGTATAATTACAAAAAGTCATGTTTGTTCTTGGACAATTAATATGTTTTATATTTTGCGGGACGTGGATGATGCTCGTGACACGAGGCCTGATGGATGTAGCATATGGGAGGAATGAATGGGCGAGCAATGCGATTGATATTGTACAGGAGACGACAAATGAAATTTGTGTGATGAACGGAAAATCAATATTTCTTAAAGTAGATTAGCCTAATAAAAAATAAGTTGAATTGAGCAGACGACACATCCGAATTATGACACATAACATAGAAACTATATTTTCTTGTACTCTATGTAATGTAATTGTGGGAATATATTTGTGCGTTGCTACATGATGAAAATGCCTAAAGTTGAAGTGATCGACACATCCAAATCGTGGCACATAAAATTATATTTTCTTATACTCGATGTATGGTTGTCCTCATTGGTTCGTCGAATCTGATTATAGCCGTAACGACTTATTAATGACCAAAATATATTTTGCAGATAAAACTTAAAAGCCAATGTTGGAAAATAAACTACATTAAGAAAACTTCAAAATTATGTTTTAAAGATTAGATTGAAATTCAAAATTATATTTGGGAAAATACGATTTTTTTTCCATTTATAAATCGCATTTGAGGTCAAACATGAAGAAATGAAGAAATAGATGGTGAAAATAAAGTAAAATAAATAGAGACAAAGCAGACAAGGAGGGAAAAAGATAAAAAAAAATGGAATGAGAGCAGATAGGGTCATAGGGAGGGAAAAAAGAAAGTACCGTCGCTCGTTTCTTCCTCTCCTCTCAGTCCCTTTCCCCACCCCACATGACATTTCTTATCCTTTTATACTTTACTCTCTCCCTCCTCTCCTCCATCAAAGTTCCCACCAACGAGGGCGACATCGATGCGCCTAATGGTGACATGTGCAACAGGAAAATAAACATTACACAAACGTTAAACAACGTCTGCTTTGCTGGCTTCGTCGCCTACTAGCTGCTTTATTTGCCACAAAGGCTATTTCTCAGTACGAGGTATGACATGATCTGTGTCTAGGTTTCAGCTCTAGAATTTGAGTCTTTTCGAGACGGAGGAAGTATATGTCAACTTTCTCTCACTCTTCCATAAAAAAATCACTTTCTCTCACTCGCATCCCTTAATAAGAACTGGCATTGATGAACACCTTAGAGCATCTCCAGTAATAGCTCCTATTTTAGAATCCCTAAAGGTTAAATGGGGGCTGTCCCCATTTCTCCAGGACTTTAAAAATGGTTCTAACTCCAGCAACAACCCCTATTTATTAGCCCCTTTTACATTTTTCTCATTTATTTCATCATATAATGTATCTTTTTGTCTAGTTTAACATCACAACAATGTAAATATTAATATTTCCAACGCATTGAATTTAATCATATTTAAATTAATAATTTCAAACAATTCAGATTGAAATTTGATCTTTTTTTAAACATCGAAATGGCAATCCTAGTGATATCACATTGATCTGTGCATGTATATATATACACACACACTAGCGTGAGTGCATGAATGACTCGCTGCAATGCTCGATCAGTGCATCTGCTGCAGCTGCTAGCATTAGCAGTTCATCATCCCATCATCAATATCCAATAATATACATGTATATATGGATGCATATATACTCCCTCCGTTTCAAAATGTTTGACACCATTGACTTTTTAGTATGTGTTTGACCATTCGTCTTATTCAAAAAATTTAAGTAATTATTTATTCTTTTCATATTATTTGATTTATTGTTGAATATACTTTCATGTACACATATAGTTTTACATATTTCACAATTTTGTTTGAATAAGACGAATGGTCAAACATGTGTTAAAAGGTCAACGGTGTCAAACATTTTGAAACGGAGGGAGTACAATCATATATGATGGATTGATGGGCTGGACGAGATTCAGCTATGATTATCCAGTGCGTACACAGTACTGCAGGCATATATGCAAGGAAATGGTAGTAGTAACTCCTAGATCAGCCAGATCAAATCTCAGTTGGCCAACAGCGGCAGATGATTGTTGACACTTGACAGGAACCAAACCATGTCTCATCGATATGCAGAAACATCCATGCATTCGTGCATTCATACAGGTGACCAATACCGTATCATGGCGATGGCTGGATCAGAGTAGAGTCACTCGCAAGACGACTGACGGCGTGCTGTGATCGCGCGGGAGGGAGCGTGCGTCGTGTAAACATTCCTCGCACCAAAAAGAAAAAAAAGTTTGATAGGGGCTGTGGTGTAGAGCCCCCAGGCCTAGGGGCTACGGGAGGGAATTTGACAGCCTTTCTATTATGGGGTCTAAAGTAGGGGCTCTGCTTTTATTTTTTGGGCTTTGCTGGAGATGCTTACCAATTTATTAAGAAAAACTAACACTAATATCGTAAGTGTCTGTTAATTCTAAAAACTTGTTTGGTTAACGTAATTTCGTAAAAGGGATGGATGCATATATACCTGCCTACATGTACATGCAAGTGTTTGTAGCATATGGGTCTGCATCTTCTGCCTTTGAGGCCAAAGGCAGTCTTTGCCGTTGCTTTCATCCATGCCATACATAGGATCAATGGCTGCATGGCTTGTTCCATCACAGTACAGCTAAGTAATTGACAAAATTAGATGTTTCTCTCTAGTAAAATAAATCAAAGCACGAGGAACACACAATACGCTTACTCTCGCATTTTTACATCAGCAATATGAATGGACATCTAATCTCCATTGATATAGGAACAACATGAAAAGAAAAAAAAATCCTTCATAGATGGAGCAGCCAAATAATCTTAATTACCACCATATCAGATAAGTGATGCAAGAAAATTATCTTTATTTGATTTGTCATCATATTGTACCTTCCACTTTTATTCTTTTAAAGCCTATAATTTTATTTATTTTTAAGCTCTTGTTCATATTGTTCAATTAAAAGAATCCATGTTCAGTTAAAGCAGTTTATCTCTTTTGTTCTGCGCACTCTGCACCGCTGATTTTGTTTGTTGATTCTTTTTCCTTGGAAAGAAACACATGGTTCTATTAATTAATTACTCCCTCCGTTTCATAATGTAAGACTTTCTAGCATTGTCTATATATATAGATGTTAATGAATTTAAACACATACATATGTCTAGATTCATTAACATTTAAATGAATGTGGGCAATGCTAGAAAGTCTTACATTGTGAAACGGAGGAAGTAGGTGCTAATAATCACTGGTGAGGCAAGCTATGCTGCCATTTATCCCTGGGTGGCATATAGGAAAGCAACGGCAAAGTTTGCCGTTTGTGTCTGTCTCACTCACAAATCACACATCTTCCTACCTCTCTCCCATCACACCCATTTCCTTGCCTACTCCTCAATTAGTTAACTCAGTTAAGAGAAAAAAAAATCTCCAATTAGCAGCCTCCATCCCAGAATAAAAAAATTTTAGAGTTGGACACGATTATTAAGAAAGTAGGCAGAAGTGAATGGTGTAGGGTTATGATTGGATGAGTAGTGGAGGTAGGTAAGAAAAGTGAATGATAGAGTGTTGTGATTGGTTGGGAAAAAAATGTTGGTGGGGAAGTTGTTATATTTTGGATAAATCCTACATAGCAAGTGCTAAAAGTTATTATATTTTGGGACGAAAGGAGTATCTAGCTGCCTTAGCTAGCTTAGCTACAGACTCCTCTCACCATGGTGGATTGGTGGGCAGAGCAGACGAGCAGCATCGTGCTTGTATTCCGGCGGGTAGACCCTCGACGGCCTAGCGTCCACCGCGGTGCTTGTATGCTGCGAGGCAACGCGCTGCCGTTGGACGCTCGTTGTGGCGTGCTCGATCGCCGGGGCCTTCGTGCGCTTGTACGACGTCGTCAGGCCTGCCTGCTAGCCGCAACTCATTGCACGCTGCGCATATCGAGCGTTCTGCTGCTAGCTGATATTCCAGCGTCGCAGCGGGCTGCAGCTCGTGGAGGTCGCAACTAACCGCCGCTCCGCACCAGCTTCCCCGGCGGGGGACAGCCTGTTGCGTTGCAGCTCTTCTAGCAGCTGCACGAGCTCATCAGAGTTTGTTGGTTGGAGCTTGGGAGGAAGGGGACGGGTATCTTTTGGTCCAAATATTTCGACAAGTGAAGTGAAGAGGTAGGAAGTGCCATGTCTCCAATACTTATATAATTGTGATGGTATGATTATAAATAGATGAATAATAATGGTATATTACAAAACCTTAAAAAAATTACAGTGTCATGATCCAATTAACCGTTGTGTTCAAACAGTCAAAGACAGTCTGACAAGATGCGGACCCAGTAGTATATTCAACATTAGGGTGTGTTTAGTTTTTTGGGTGTAAATTTTTTTTAAGTATACGGACACACATTTGAACTATTAAACGTAGACTAATAACAAAACAAATTACAGATTCCGCCTGTAAACTGCGAGACGAATTTATTAAACCTAATTAATTCGTCATTAGCAAATGTTTACTGTAGCATCACATTGTCAAATCATGGCGTAATTAGGCTTAAAAGATTCGTCTCACAATTTACATGCAAACTGTGCAATTGGTTTTTTCCCCATTTAATTAATGCCCCATATATGTGTCCAAACATTTGATGTGACGTTTTTGGCCAAAAATTTTTAGGATCTAAACAAGGCCTGTGTTTAGTTCACGCTAAAATTGGAAATTTGATTGAAATTGGAACGATGTGACGGAAAAGTTAGAAGTTTGTATGTGCAAGAAAGTTTTGATTTGATGGAAAAGTCGAGAGTTAGAAGAAAAAGTTTAGAAGTAAACTCAGCCTTAGTTTATTTTCATGGTGCTAAACTGCTACTGCTGCTTATCTACATGCCCATAGCATCCTAGACTTATCTCTTTCTCCTCCCCCTTATCTCTTTCTTCTCCCTTTCATAGCCACATACAACTTCCCTCTCTATCTGTCCCACACGGGCATGAACGATTCTTTTTTATTTGTTTCTTTTGTGTGACTGAGACATGAACGATATATCTCTTCTGAACGATATATCTCTTCTGTTTGATTCAGTTCTTAGATAGAATGATTTTATTAATTTAGGCATCGATCTAGCATGCGGTCGGTATTAATTTAGGCATCAATATGTGATTTTGTCATAGCCGGCTTGAATAGAGCTCCTCCCTGTTTTGTTATACAGAGGAGGCGCTGCCGATGCAATCCTATCAAGCTTAGCTGGGGTATTGGATTTGTGTGTTCTTTTCCTTCTTTTCTTTCCTCCCTTCTGCTTGAGTTCTCTAAGAACTGATTACCTGATTGGATTTTATATTGGTTTTTAATTTTATTTTTTGTCCGACATCCCGATTGAATCTTGCATCAATTTTGAATTTGTTCCTTGTCCGGGCAGAGGGCATCGCTCGCAGACGAACGCGTAAAAAGAAACGGACAAAAACGGATTGACGAACACAAAAATTATGTGACGAACGGAGAGTTATTGATTTTTTAAGTAGTAGTTATTACTATATTATTATACGGGATGGCTATTTGGCAGTCGAATGTTTTTTCTTGCCTCTATCATTCGTTTTTTAAGCCGTCGGATTTCTTTGTGATTCGTACTGGCTTGTAGTTCATTTTGTAGTGTCGGTGTGTGGGCTTATGAGCTTTTTATTTGTGTCTGGGCTTTTGGGCTTTTTTTTGTGTGTGGTAATTATGTGGGACCCACATCAGAAATTCTTTTCGACAGCCTGTGTGGGACCCATGGGCACTGTTCGAATTTTGAAATCCGCGCTTGTCTTTTTTGTGCCGACGGAGAGAGAGTGAGTCAGATAGAGGGAGAGAGAGAGATATTTCTCTCGTTCTCGTCGTCTCAGGCGACGCGGCGGCGATTCCGTCGGGCGGAGCGGCGGCGTTTCCGTCGGGAGGAGCGGTGGCGATTCCATCCGGTGATTGTGCAGTCCTGTTGCGCAGTTTGCGGGAGGTGAAGGTGGCAGATTTATTTTCCATTTTTTATCGATTTCTTCTTCTATTTGTTGCTCTTGTGTTGATTCATCTCTTCATTTTTCTCTTCTCGTAGTCTTTGGTTTGCTGGTGGCTACGACGCGGCTGTGAAGTTGGAGCTGATTTCGGTGAGTTTCCCCATCGTTTTTCTGATATTCCCTTGTGTTTTAGGTCGTCGATTCGTGGGGCTTGTAGATCTGAGTTTGTTTCGACTCGGAATCTATGTATGTGTTTGATATGGTGAATCCCCTTGATTCATATTCGTTTATGACTCGGTGATCTCTGTGTTCTTAGCCCTATATATTGTCTTCTTGTGCACTAGATCTGCGCTTTTGCTTTTGTCTTCTATATGAAAATTACAGAACATGATGTGGTTGTAGTTGTGAACTAGATCTGTGCTTTTGCTTTTGTGAACTAGTTACGTGCTTTTTTATTTTGTTCTAGAACTGTGTTTTTTGCTTTTTTCTGAACTAGATGTGTGCAAATAAGGGAGTAATGTATATATGTTCACCTATCTGTATGCACTGATTGTTTTTGTAGTAATGCATTCAGGATGTTTTTATTCTAGAAATCTGCAAATGCTATATGTTAATTCAATGACAACCTTATATGAGCAGTTAAATTTGTTATTGATATTATCAGTTGTTTTTTGCATGACTAAGATATGCTGGTTTGTACTAAGTTTCAAGTTTTATGTCTTTATTAGAATGGTATTTATGGTTGTTAATTTTTTTTGTCTCTGATGCATGTTCCATGTTCAGGTTCAGTATTCAAAATGAGAAGAGTACTGTTATGTTTATGGTTGTGATTTGTGTTCTTAGCCCTAGATATTGTTTATGTGGACTAGATGTGTGATTCATTTCATTTTAGATATATCTTTTTGTGATTGCTTTTTTGCATTTGTGAACTAGATCTGTGCTTTTGCTTTTGTGAACTAGATGTGTGCAATGTATATTTGTTGACCCTTCTGTATACCCTTGATTTGCATGTTCTGTGCACTGATTGATTTTGTAGTAATGCTTTGATGTCAGTTTCTAAATCTATGCAAGAAAATGCTATATGCTATTTAGGTGAATGTTTATGCACTGATTCAGGATGTTTTTTTTTCTAGAAATCCACAAATGCTATATGCCATTTGCATTTTAGTTTGGTATTTTTAATCTTTCAATGACAACCTTACATGAGTAAATAACACAAGTTATTGAAGATTTCTGTACTAGAATGTTTTTTATAGTAGTCAATTTTTGTCTCTGCATTTTGCATGCTTAGGTTTAGTATTCAGAAGGAGAAGAGTATTGTTAATACATTTGTTCAGAAGGAGAAGAGTATAGTATTCCTAGTCATCACTATACTCTGATATATGACATGAGTTTGTGCTACACATTTGACACTACTCTATGAAAATAATTATTTCTACTATATGAAAGTAATATTATTTTCGTATGACATGGTGCATTTAACTTGTATGTTTTATTCTGTTTTGTTATATATTTTAGTCCATAATACTTATGTTTTGAGATCTTTTTTTCTCTCCTTGCAGTCATGGGTCATAGAAAAAGATCAAAAGTGGATATTTCTAGTGAATCTAACAGTGACAATGATTGTAGTTTGAGTTCTGATAATCATGATGGTGATGTTCATTTATCTAATCATGATGAAAGTTCTGATAATCATGTAAGTTCATTTGTCATGTTCATTTATCATGGAAGTTTATTTTTTATTTCAATATTTTTTTTGAATCTTCTTGTTTTTTTATTAAGGACCAACATTTTGAGGAAAATGATCCTTTGCTTCATTTAACTAAAGAAGAGCTTATGAAGAAATTGAAAATAAAGCTTGGTAAAAGGCCATTTACAGATGACCATAAAAAGAAGGTATGATTAATGCATATTTAGATTTTTGTAATTTACATTATTTTTTTAATATGATATTTTTTATTTTCAGAGACATAAAGTTGAATCAGACTCAATTATCGATGATGCATTGTTAGAGATTCACAATGATCTAGTTCTCCATTCTTTGAAAATGAAATTAAGCATGCTTGGTGAACAGTCTAAAAATAAGGTAATTTTATTACCTTATTACATTGGTGAATAATTTTTTCTTTAGTTTTTTTAATTTCTTTTCTTTAAATTTTTTTTGGCAGAGAAAAACCTTTGAGAAAGATAACCAACAAGGGTGTGTTCTGACTGATTGCAAATTATTGTTTTATATGATCATGATCTTTAATTTTTTATAGTTTTTGATATGCTATGGGATAAGCTTGACACTTTTATATTTACTTGCTGAACATTTAGCTGTGATTGAATGCTTGTGCAAGCATGTGCTGCTCCATGTTAGAATGTCTGCATACATTTTTTTTCTTGCAAAATAAACTGTAACTTTAAATATTTTTTCATGTAATTTTTTTCAGTTTCTTCATATATGTAAGTTTTGTACTGTTACTGCAGTCAAGAAGCTGTTAATATTGATGGAGTTCACTGCAAATTCTCATCTTTTGGTTCTTCATTCAAACAAGGTGGAGAATTATCAAATTTTGTAATGTTTGTGTTCTGTCGATATATGTTTAAATCGATTCATCCTTCAAAATCCAAAAGACACTATTTCTTCTCTTCAATTGGGGTTAGTGTTTGTAATTTTTAATTTTTTTATTAAATACAACTCTGTTACTTGCAAATTGAGTATGTATTTTTTTATTTCAGAATGATCTTATGAAACACCCTTCAAAAACTAATTTTGGAATGGTCCAAAAGAGTTTTTCTAGAGCATCACTTGCTAGACCAATTGAGATATGTGACATGGTATGTACTTATGTAATGTTTAATTGAATTAGTTTATATTAGATTTCTCTGTTTTTACATTTGTTTTTATTGTATCATTTTTTCAGCTGTTTTTCCCAATATTGCATTTGAGGCATTGGTTTCTGTTTGTTGTTGATTTGAAAGATGAGAGTTTTGTTTTCATTGACTCCTTATTTGAAGAAGAAGAAGACTATCAATACAATGCTAGATGCAGATTGGTATGATTTTTTTTTTGCAAATTATTATATGTATAGAATAATTTATTTTTATGATTGTTTCATTTTGTCAGATATCAAAATTTTCAATTGTATGGAGGAAATTTGTCTCTGAACATCCAATTAACTTTGCTAGTTTCAAGATAATATACCCACCTCGTCCAAGACAAACAAATCGGTAAATTACAAATGTTAACTCTTTGAATGTTATTTTAATTATAGTAATTTTTATTATTTATGACTTATGTTTTTTTTATTTCTGTTTTTTTAGCCTTGATTGTGGTATTTTTACTCTGAAATTCATGGAAATTTGGCGTCCAAGAGTTCTGCTAACCAACCAGTTCTCTCAAAAAGACATTCCTAACATAAGGATTCAATATGTCAACAAGTTGTTTTTCCATCCATGCAACATTATGCTGAACTCTGCAACAAAGAAACTTGTTACTGACTATTATGCAAAGGTAAGTAGTCATCTTAACTTTTTTTTAAAATATGTTTTTAAAATTTTTTTCTTCTGTTACCTTTACATTTAGCTTTTTTATTCTTTTTTTTGTAGGGCTGATTTGATTCAACAGGAATACTTTGAAAACCAAGATTACTTTAGCTCAACAGTTTATAGTAGATTTGTATAGATACAATTTCTGTGCCATATTGTAACTATTACAGTAAGATAACAACTTGAAAGGTCACATCACAAAAGGTACCAAACTTCATATATTGTAACTATTCTGAACGACTATTACAATTGTTCACTACGCAGGAATATAACTTCTCATACTCAGTATAACTATTTTCTGCTTCACTACTTTCTAACTTCAACTTGAGCCATCTGTCTTTCTTTTCTTAGTCCCTTTTTGCTCCATTAATACTTGTGTTGTTGCTTCTTGTTTTTTTCCCTTTATTTGTCTTCTTTGAACCTCAGTTTGTTCTTCCTCTGCATTCTGCAATTGCAATCAAATTCAAATTAAATATTTTAAATCAAATGAGAATTCTTAAAATAAATACTTTTTTACCTTTTGTGCTGTGTTTTTTGTCTTTCTAATTTTCTTTCTTAGCAAATCAAATTCAATGTGCTTTAGAGGGCATGTTGGAAAAGTGTGATCTGTTCGTTGACAATGACTGCAATGATAAACTTCTTTACTCTGTAATTCCTCTCTAAATGATTTGTATCTTTGAGATGGTCTTCCCTTTGACTTTGCTATGTCTGGATCTATCAAAATTTCTTCATTGTTTTCTTCTGTTTCTTCAATGACTTCTCCATTTGTTGTATCTGTTTTGTCTATCTCCATTTGCTGCTTTGTTCTTTGCTCTGAATTCATTGATATCAATTCTTTTTCTAGCTTGTCAATCTGATCAACTGCAAATTGGAACGAATCAATACTTTTTGATCCTTGTGAGGCTATTTCAGCACATTTCCTTGACAGAATATTGAATCTGAGGACTGAGCTCTCCGATAAAGGTATAATTCTATCTTCAAAATCATATTTTTCTTTGTAATCCTTTTTTCTCCACCGATCAATAATATATTTCTTTGGAATCTTCATAATGTTGAGGTGAAGCATAATTTTCAATATGTGGGAGCAAAGAAGGCCATCTTTCTCAAATTTTGAGCAAATACAAGTGTATTCCTCCTTTTCAGAGTCAACAATTACAAGGTACTTCCTTCTTCTTACTACTTTTATTTTCTGATTCAATGCAAGAAAAACTTCATAAGTCTTCAATTTTGTACGGCAGTGCTTTGCAACAGAGGCACGAAGACCGGTCCTTATATGGCCGAGGTGCTACTATCAAAACCATGCACTCCGAGCCCAGCCTAAAACCATTTTGAGGGTTTTGAATAGAGGGGAGGTGTGAATCCAATTCCACAATGATCCAACAATTCCATAGTGTCCAGGTGATGAGAATATCCCCAAAGTCTAGAGGTGTAAAACCACCTAATGTTGCCTAATTAACCAGCGAAGCATCTACCTAAAATCATACTAGTGGTACCATGAGTAGAGTGTCCACTAGTTGGGGTTTTGTTTATTCTAGGGTGAACAAGGTAATGATAACAGCAACAATAATAAGGTCATAACAAAAGTAAATAGGCATGGCTAGATAAAACAGTGATAACGCGGGAATTTAAATAAAGCGATAATACAATAATTTAAATCAAAATAATTTTATCAACTGGGATTCAATATGTTCAAGGATGATGTGACTTGCCTTGCTCGCTTTCCCAAACGTCGGCTTCAACCTCCACGAAGAGCGGATCTTCCGAAACTGCAGCGTCTACACGACCAACGGAAAATAAAAAGGCTTTTACTCTAATAAACTCCATATAACAAGCAGGAATAAAGCACAAAAATGGGTTCTTGACTTCTTAAGGAAAAATTAGAGACTTGAACGGTCCAATTCCGAGTTCAAATGGCCAAGTTATGGCCATTTGAAGTTTATATGCTCTTTAAATGAATATTTGCGAATTTCTCTATTTAAATTTTAATTTAAAAAGGGTTTATTGCGTCAGCCGAGGGGGAGGGGCGCGCGGACCAGGTCCACGGGAGTGGGGCCCACGCGGCAACCTCACGGTCCAAGGTGGACCGGGTGCACCCGGGCTCGCACCGGCCGGCGCCGTGGGCCCCACACGTCAGCCGCACCCGAGGGCGCGGGCGGCTGACGGCCGGGCCCCACGCGGCAGCCACTCGGCGCGCCCGAGGGAGGCGGCACGCCCACGCCCCGATGGTCGCCGCCGGCGACCACCGGCGCGGCGGAGCGGCGGCCGAGAGAGGGGAGGGAAGGGGGAAAGGAGGCGACGGTCCACGGCTCACCCCGGGGCGACGGCGGCAACGGAGGAGGCGGCCGGAGTGGAGGGAGGCGGCGGCGCGGCTCGGGTCGACGGGGTCGACGGCGTTCCGGCGGTCGGCGCCCGAAACGGAGAGGTGGACGAGGTTGGCGAGGATGCGGCGAACCCGAAGGAGGCGGCGCCGAGGTGGGAGGCGTTCCGGGGCGACGACGGCGGCGGACCGGAGCTTGGCGGCGACGGCGGAGAGAGAGAGCGACGTCGCGAGCTCGAATCCGGCGAGGAGGAAGGGCGGCGAGAGGCGGAAACGGACGGAGGAGGTGCGGGGAGGGTTTAAATAGGGTTGGAAGGGGGAGAGAGCGGCCGGAGGGGAAGGAAACCGGCGCGGGAGGTCCGGCCGCCATCAATGGCGCCGGCGAGATTTGCGGGGGCAAATCCGCCCGTTTGAACGCGAGAGAGAGAGAGGGAAAAATGGGGGGAAAGGGAGAGGGGATCACGGGGAGTGATTCCCCCCACTTTATTACACGCGGGGACGGCGGGAGGCGGCAGGATTCGCGGCGGCGGCGGCGCTAGGGCGCGGGGGAGGCGGCGGGAGGAAGGGGATGATGGGTGGGCCCCACCCGTCAGCGAGGGTGGCGGGCGGGCCCGCCCGTCAGCGGCGCGCGCGCGGGGAGGGAGGCCGAATGGGCCGCGGGGGAGAGGAGAGAGAGGGGGAGGGAGATGGGCCAAATTCGGCCCATTAGAGAGAAGGAGGGATTTTAGGGTTTTTCTTTTTATAAAATTATTTTAACTTTGTTTATTTCTTAACAATTATTATTTGTGCTCTGAAAATTCCACTAAAATTTATTTACGTATTTTAGGCTTTTAGGAAATATACAAAAATCCTCTAAGCCTTATTTGACTTTTAACCTTGCACATTTTATTTGTTGTTGGCTTTCACACGGTTTTTAATTATTCTAGGCATAATTTAGAGGATGTATTTTAGAGTCGTTTTGGGACGTGACAAATTTCTCGACCTCAATCAATTGTAATCTTGTTGTCCTCTTAAGTTCAACTTGGAACTTTTTGAATATTTTTGAATTGTACAGCTTGACAGCTTGGTACTCAATGTAGTAATGAGACCAAAGTTTGCTTGGCCTTTTTGTCCTTGAATTATGATCATCTAGCTGCTCCAAATTCTGAATAGTGTCCATTACTCTGACATATTCTATCAAAAAGTTTATTATACTGTATTGTGGACCAACATCTTTCTTAAACCTTGAATTTGTACCTTCACTTAGAGCTGTGCTTTTTATGAATGGACAAAAATTTGTTTTGAAGTATACTGGTGCAAAATTGTTTTTGAATAAGCAGGTGCAAAATTCGGCTGACAACAGTACTGAAATTGGAAATCAAGCAACAACAAATGTTGATACAGTGGAAAGTAATGATTCAAATGCAAATGGAGAAATGTTGACAAAAGAAGATATAAACAATTTTTTGGATCAAGAACAAGAAGAAACTACAAAAGGAAATAATGCAGCAATTGATGTGAAGTACATTCATACCAGTATACTTCAAAACAAATTTTTGTCCATTCATAAAAAGCACAGCTCTAAGTGAAGGTACAAATTCAAGGTTTAAGAAAGATGTTGGTCCACAATACAGTATAATAAGCTTTTTGATAGAATATGTCAGAGTAATGGACACTATTCAGAATTTGGAGCAGTTAGATGATCATAATTCAAGGACAAAAAGGCCAAGCAAACTTTGGTCTCATTACTACATTGAGTACCAAGCTGTCAAGCTGTACAATTCAAAAATATTCAAAAAGTTCCAAGTTGAACTTAAGAGGACAACAAGATTACAATTGATTGAGGTCGAGAAATTGAAGACTTATGAAGTTTTTCTTGCATTGAATCAGAAAATAAAAGTAGTAAGAAGAAGGAAGTACCTTGTAATTGTTGACTCTGAAAAGGAGGAATACACTTGTATTTGCTCAAAATTTGAGAAAGATGGCCTTCTTTGCTCCCACATATTGAAAATTATGCTTCACCTCAACATTATGAAGATTCCAAAGAAATATATTATTGATCGGTGGAGAAAAAAGGATTACAAAGAAAAATATGATTTTGAAGATAGAATTATACCTTTATCGGAGAGCTCAGTCCTCAGATTCAATATTCTGTCAAGGAAATGTGCTGAAATAGCCTCACAAGGATCAAAAAGTATTGATTCGTTCCAATTTGCAGTTGATCAGATTGACAAGCTAGAAAAAGAATTGATATCAATGAATTCAGAGCAAAGAACAAAGCAGCAAATGGAGATAGACAAAACAGATACAACAAATGGAGAAGTCATTGAAGAAACAGAAGAAAACAATGAAGAAATTTTGATAGATCCAGACATAGCAAAGTCAAAGGGAAGACCATCTCAAAGATACAAATCATTTAGAGAGGAATTACAGAGTAAAGAAGTTTATCATTGCAGTCATTGTCAACGAACAGATCACACTTTTCCAACATGCCCTCTAAAGCACATTGAATTTGATTTGCTAAGAAAGAAAATTAGAAAGACAAAAAACACAGCACAAAAGGTAAAAAAGTATTTATTTTAAGAATTCTCATTTGATTTAAAATATTTAATTTGAATTTGATTGCAATTGCAGAATGCAGAGGAAGAACAAACTGAGGTTCAAAGAAGACAAATAAAGGGAAAAAAACAAGAAGCAACAACACAAGTATTAATGGAGCAAAAAGGGACTAAGAAAAGAAAGACAGATGGCTCAAGTTGAAGTTAGAAAGTAGTGAAGCAGAAAATAGTTATACTGAGTATGAGAAGTTATATTCCTGCGTAGTGAACAATTGTAATAGTCGTTCAGAATAGTTACAATATATGAAGTTTGGTACCTTTTGTGATGTGACCTTTCAAGTTGTTATCTTACTGTAATAGTTACAATATGGCACAGAAATTGTATCTATACAAATCTACTATAAACTGTTGAGCTAAAGTAATCTTGGTTTTCAAAGTATTCCTGTTGAATCAAATCAGCCCTACAAAAAAAAGAATAAAAAAGCTAAATGTAAAGGTAACAGAAGAAAAAAATTTTAAAAACATATTTTAAAAAAAAGTTAAGATGACTACTTACCTTTGCATAATAGTCAGTAACAAGTTTCTTTGTTGCAGAGTTCAGCATAATGTTGCATGGATGGAAAAACAACTTGTTGACATATTGAATCCTTATGTTAGGAATGTCTTTTTGAGAGAACTGGTTGGTTAGCAGAACTCTTGGACGCCAAATTTCCATGAATTTCAGAGTAAAAATACCACAATCAAGGCTAAAAAAACAGAAATAAAAAAAACATAAGTCATAAATAATAAAAATTACTATAATTAAAATAACATTCAAAGAGTTAACATTTGTAATTTACCGATTTGTTTGTCTTGGACGAGGTGGGTATATTATCTTGAAACTAGCAAAGTTAATTGGATGTTCAGAGACAAATTTCCTCCATACAATTGAAAATTTTGATATCTGACAAAATGAAACAATCATAAAAATAAATTATTCTATACATATAATAATTTGCAAAAAAAAAATCATACCAATCTGCATCTAGCATTGTATTGATAGTCTTCTTCTTCTTCAAATAAGGAGTCAATGAAAACAAAACTCTCATCTTTCAAATCAACAACAAACAGAAACCAATGCCTCAAATGCAATATTGGGAAAAACAGCTGAAAAAATGATACAATAAAAACAAATGTAAAAACAGAGAAATCTAATATAAACTAATTCAATTAAACATTACATAAGTACATACCATGTCACATATCTCAATTGGTCTAGCAAGTGATGCTCTAGAAAAACTCTTTTGGACCATTCCAAAATTAGTTTTTGAAGGGTGTTTCATAAGATCATTCTGAAATAAAAAAATACATACTCAATTTGCAAGTAACAGAGTTGTATTTAATAAAAAAATTAAAAATTACAAACACTAACCCCAATTGAAGAGAAGAAATAGTGTCTTTTGGATTTTGAAGGATGAATCGATTTAAACATATATCGACAGAACACAAACATTACAAAATTTGATAATTCTCCACCTTGTTTGAATGAAGAACCAAAAGATGAGAATTTGCAGTGAACTCCATCAATATTAACAGCTTCTTGACTGCAGTAACAGTACAAAACTTACATATATGAAGAAACTGAAAAAAATTACATGAAAAAATATTTAAAGTTACAGTTTATTTTGCAAGAAAAAAAATGTATGCAGACATTCTAACATGGAGCAGCACATGCTTGCACAAGCATTCAATCACAGCTAAATGTTCAGCAAGTAAATATAAAAGTGTCAAGCTTATCCCATAGCATATCAAAAACTATAAAAAATTAAAGATCATGATCATATAAAACAATAATTTGCAATCAGTCAGAACACACCCTTGTTGGTTATCTTTCTCAAAGGTTTTTCTCTGCCAAAAAAAATTTAAAGAAAAGAAATTAAAAAAACTAAAGAAAAAATTATTCACCAATGTAATAAGGTAATAAAATTACCTTATTTTTAGACTGTTCACCAAGCATGCTTAATTTCATTTTCAAAGAATGGAGAACTAGATCATTGTGAATCTCTAACAATGCATCATCGATAATTGAGTCTGATTCAACTTTATGTCTCTGAAAATAAAAAATATCATATTAAAAAAATAATGTAAATTACAAAAATCTAAATATGCATTAATCATACCTTCTTTTTATGGTCATCTGTAAATGGCCTTTTACCAAGCTTTATTTTCAATTTCTTCATAAGCTCTTCTTTAGTTAAATGAAGCAAAGGATCATTTTCCTCAAAATGTTGGTCCTTAATAAAAAAAACAAGAAGATTCAAAAAAAATATTGAAATAAAAAATAAACTTCCATGATAAATGAACATGACAAATGAACTTACATGATTATCAGAACTTTCATCATGATTAGATAAATGAACATCACCATCATGATTATCAGAACTCAAACTACAATCATTGTCACTGTTAGATTCACTAGAAATATCCACTTTTGATCTTTTTCTATGACCCATGACTGCAAGGAGAGAAAAAAAGATCTCAAAACATAAGTATTATGGACTAAAATATATAACAAAACAGAATAAAACATACAAGTTAAATGCACCATGTCATACGAAAATAATATTACTTTCATATAGTAGAAATAATTATTTTCATAGAGTAGTGTCAAATGTGTAGCACAAACTCATGTCATATATCAGAGTATAGTGATGACTAGGAATACTATACTCTTCTCCTTCTGAACAAATGTATTAACAATACTCTTCTCCTTCTGAATACTAAACCTAAGCATGCAAAATGCAGAGACAAAAATTGACTACTATAAAAAACATTCTAGTACAGAAATCTTCAATAACTTGTGTTATTTACTCATGTAAGGTTGTCATTGAAAGATTAAAAATACCAAACTAAAATGCAAATGGCATATAGCATTTGTGGATTTCTAGAAAAAAAAAACATCCTGAATCAGTGCATAAACATCCACCTAAATAGCATATAGCATTTTCTTGCATAGATTTAGAAACTGACATCAAAGCATTACTACAAAATCAATCAGTGCACAGAACATGCAAATCAAGGGTATACAGAAGGGTCAACAAATATACATTGCACACATCTAGTTCACAAAAGCAAAAGCACAGATCTAGTTCACAAATGCAAAAAAGCAATCACAAAAAGATATATCTAAAATGAAATGAATCACACATCTAGTCCACATAAACAATATCTAGGGCTAAGAACACAAATCACAACCATAAACATAACAGTACTCTTCTCATTTTGAATACTGAACCTGAACATGGAACATGCATCAGAGACAAAAAAAAATTAACAACCATAAATACCATTCTAATAAAGACATAAAACTTGAAACTTAGTACAAACCAGCATATCTTAGTCATGCAAAAAAACAACTGATAATATCAATAACAAATTTAACTGCTCATATAAGGTTGTCATTGAATTAACATATAGCATTTGCAGATTTCTAGAATAAAAACATCCTGAATGCATTACTACAAAAACAATCAGTGCATACAGATAGGTGAACATATGTACATTACTCCCTTATTTGCACACATCTAGTTCAGAAAAAAGCAAAAAACACAGTTCTAGAACAAAATAAAAAAGCACGTAACTAGTTCACAAAAGCAAAAGCACAGATCTAGTTCACAACTACAACCACATCATGTTCTGTAATTTTCATATAGAAGACAAAAGCAAAAGCGCAGATCTAGTGCACAAGAAGACAATATATAGGGCTAAGAACACAGAGATCACCGAGTCATAAACGAATATGAATCAAGGGGATTCACCATATCAAACACATGCATAGATTCCGAGTCGAAACAAACTCAGATCTACAAGCCCCACGAATTGACGACCTAAAACACAAGGGAATATCAGAAAAACGAAGGGGAAACTCACCGAAATCAGCTCCAACTTCACAGCCACGTCGTAGCCACCAGCAAAACAAAGACTACGAGAAGAGAAAAATGAAGAGATGAATCAACACAAGAGCAACAAATAGAAGAAGAAATCGATAAAAAATGGAAAATAAATCTGCCACCTTCACCTCCCGCAAACTGCGCAACAGGACTGCACAATCACCGGACGGAATCGCCACCGCTCCTCCCGACGGAAACGCCACCGCTCCGCCCGACGGAATCGCCGCCGCGTCGCCTGAGACGATGAGAACGAGAGAAATATATCTCTCTCTCTCTCTCCCTCTATCTGACTCACTCTCTCTCCGTCGGCACAAAAAAGACAAGCGCGGATTTCAAAATTCGAACAGTACCCATGGGTCCCACACAAGCTGTCGAAAAAAATTTCTGATGTGGGTCCCACATAATTACCACACACAAAAAAAAAGCCCAAAAGCCCAGACACAAATAAAAAGCTCATAAGCCCACACACCGATACTACAAAATGAACTACAAGCCAGTACGAATCACAAAGAAATCCGACGGCTTAAAAAACGAATGATAGACCCAAGAAAAAACATGCGACTGCCAAATAGCCATCCCGTTATATATATTAAGAGTTAAGATGTGTGTTTACCTAGGAAGTCGACGGTGATCCTGCCATCGCTGAAGTGGCCGGTGGGGTGGCCAAAGAAGGTCTCGCCGTAGGGGAGCATGTTGGAAGAAGAGTTGGGATTGACGGTCGCGCCGTTACCGGTGTCGGTGGCGGAGTCGCCGAAGCTGAACATGCGCGAGAATGATCCCGAGCCCAAGCCATCGCCGGCAGTGGTGGTGGCCGCGTGCGGCGTCCCGCAGAGGATGAGGAAGAGCAGAAGCATGTAAAGCTTCGTCATCGAGATCGTCGTCGGCGAGGAGAGGGAGCTAGCTAGCTAGAAGAAGCCATTATATTGTCGATGATGATCTACCTAGTACCTTGTATCTAAGCTAAGCACGGATCAAACTTGTATAGAAGTAGTCCGTCGTCAATAATCACATGGTTTAACTGTACGTGTGCGGCTTTGGATGTTGATCGATCGCTTAATCGTCAATAACTTTAGTTTGGATGTTGATCGTCAATGTTCGATCACAGTAAAATGTACGTGTACAATTTAAGCTGGATGTTGCAAAAATTGATCGATCGCGTACTCGTCAATAATTTTTGCATGTTGATCGCTGGCATACGCGAGCATCATTAACAAAATTGTCAAATTAATCAGTACCGTATACTTGACGGAAAATAGAGCCATCAAAACATGTCGGTCTCGCTGCAACAGTAACATTTCCCCCGGTTTATGCACGTAGTTTACTCACCCCGGCCGTCGACCCAACAAGCAGATAATACCAAAAAAAAAAATAGTTAATGATGCAACATCGAATTATCTCGCTTAAGCAAGATGCATGTGCACGGTACTTCTGATTGCTAGCGTTCGACCGATAAGCTTATTAGATCGGTCATTTGTACGAGATCAGATAAAAAATACAATCTTGAGGAAAAAAAAATTAATTATTTGCCGACTGGTTCTCTTAATTATGTATGTTTGCCTTGTAATATTGGACTATCCCTTTTATACACTTTATTGTCAACTTTTAGTCTTTATTTACCATTCCCTTATTCCTACATTAACATAGATGGTGGGGACAAGGTTGACCCTATGGCTTCGTCCATAAGGCTCTAGCAAAAGGCGGCAACTAGGCGAAAAAAAAAATTCCTATCTCCCAGCCCCTTCCCTTCCTTCTTCTCTCCCAGTCGACGGGCAGGGGTCCTGCTACTTCCTCCACTAGTAGAGAATAGGTTTAGGCCTAGTTAGGTCTCTCCCGTTTCTCTTCCGTTCTCGGGTTTATACTGTTCTTTGTGCAGCTTAAGAGGGTCATTGGCGTTCGACTCTTCGATCTGGTCTCAACTTGATAAACATTGCGGGCCTCGTCATTTTTGTTGGCGTCACCTTCTAGCCCGGTAAATGCTAGGTCCACCTCTAACACCTTTAGTTGCAAGTTTTGTTGTTTTACTTAACGAAAAAAAGGCAAATAGGTGATTTTTTTTTCATCTAAACACATGCAGCCCCAAAATTTCAGATGTGAGCACGCAATGATCGAATTTCTATTTCTAAGCAGCATACTCCCTCCGTCCCACAAAATATCGAATCCTATAAGCCCGCTGCACTTTTAGTCCAAGCGGTGAAAGACCAAAATACCCCCATAAAGTACAACCATGATTAGCACTTTTGTTTTGAAAAAAATCTATGTGAACACTAAATCATTCCCAGCCCCTTCCTCGATACCCAGGCATCCCACCACCGGATGTTCGCCGTCGATGCATCACTGAGTAATGGTGTCACCTGCCTTTGACGACGACGCCAAATACCAAACGCATCAACACCAAAAACCAGCAAGCCTCCACCTTTGCCATCTGCATCATGCATGAAGCCACGAACTAGCAAGTACCAACAACATAGAAGAACCAAGAACATGAACTAGCAAGTACTAAGAACATGGAAGAACCAAGAACTGAACCAACAACAGAGAAAAAGAGATACTACAAGAACTAGCAAGAACCCCGACGCATGAACTAGCAAGAACCCCGACGAGGCCGCGTCCGCTCGTTGCCGCCGCCGCCGATGCCGTATCCACTTGCCGCCACCGCCGAGGAGGCCGCATCCCCCTGTTGCCGCCGCCACCACCGATGCCGTGTCTGCTTGCCTTCGCCACCGACGAGGCCGTGTCCGCTCGTCGCCGCCACCGATGCCGTGTCCGCTTGCCGCCGCTGCCCCCGCCGACGAGGCCGCGTCCGTCTCCACATGATGTTGGAGCGGGAGAAGGCTGAGGAGTAGAGGAGAGAGAGATGGGGAGAACCGCTGGGTGGGAGAGGATAAGGATTGAGCGGTGTGAACTGAACGCGAGGAGAGAGAGGTCGTGGGCCCATCGATGTGCTCGAGATGACGTTTCTCGTTTTGTGCACAGGAGTCGGTTTTTTGTGGGACAAACTCCGTCCCCTAGAATTCGACTTTTTGTGGGACGGAGGGAGTACACGTTAGACCATGTCAAATCGAGTTGAGGTGGTGCCCAACGAAATAAATGGGCTTTATTTAACTAAATGTCCATGTAATTAATGGGCCTTGTTTCCTTTTGCTGCCTTGTTTCTGGCCATAACATACACTACTCAGCAGTCAGCAGCCCCAGTAGCATTAAGTATCTTTTTTGTCAGTCAATACAAGTTGTTTAGTTTTTTTTTCTTGCTATAAACATACTACACTAAAGGTACAATTATTTGCAAAAGCAAAATAACACCATTTAAGCCATGCATGTTTAAATATGCAAACTCTGAACAGAGACCACCACAAGTATGTCACATTATTATTACATAGCAACAAAACTAGAAAGGTTAGTTCATTTCCAATACTAAAAAAAGCTAGGACCATTATAACATACTTCATCCGTCCTAAAAAAACAAACCCTGAGGGTTTGATTTTTTTTTTGACGGAGGGAGTAGGTCCTAGAAATAACACAAGGCACAATATAATAATAGTGCTCCCGCATAGTCTTGTTGCTCGCTTTTTATTTTATTCTAGGGATTATCTTATATCCCAACAACTGGATTGTTCTATCAGTGAGGTTGGCTTGACCGCGAACCTACAAGTTTAAATAAATATTAGCATATTCTAATACCAAATTAAATGACAAAACTATCGTAAGATAGAACTGCAGTCACAAACCGGGTTGACTCTTATCTTGCGAGGACCAATATGCAAGATGTCCCGATCGTCAACCTTGCATTTCATATAACTCTCCTCATACTCCTGGAAGCTCACACTCTCTCTCTCTCTCTCTCTCTCACTCGATCTCTCTCTCTCTCTCGTGGAAGCTCACTTTCTCTCCCTCGACTTCCCTCCAGAGAGCGGCCAACAGCGGTCGTGTGGCGGACGATTGAAAGGTGGTGTTATGTGAAAGTTAATTTCCTATCCTCGGTGCAATGCAAAAGTATGGGCCAAACCCGATGCAAAGCAAAAAAACATTGTTAATCTATCCAGCGCAAAGTGTAATTTACTTTAAATTACACATAAGAAAAATTGTTACAGGAGTGGTGGGAGCCAATTCGAGAGAATGAGTGCTCGAGCTGTATCATCTGTATTTTGGACCTCGATGATATATTAAATCAAGATTGAGAACCCAATACACATTTACATGTTCATAAATCTAGATGACACTCGGTCAGGTTTAAGAATCAGTCGTGTATTTTACTCATATTGAATTTAGAGTTCTGCAAATATTTTATGAATTATAAGTTTTACATTATTTTAAGCCTTTTTGAAATCAATTATTTGAAGGAGAAAGACTTTCACATGTCCACGTATATGTATTTGTATACCTCACAATGTTTCTTCAACCATTTTTTTTTATTTAACACCCGACTAACTTCCTACTGTAAATTATTTTGTGAGAAAATTCCCGAACCACACCTCTTCCTACTTATTATTTTGCTTCAATAAAATAACCCTGTAGGTTCTTTTCTGTTTACCGAAGATTTTATTATTCAAGAGTCTGTCCTTTAGTTTTGCGTTATTGTATCACATTTTTCTCCGTTATTGTATCCATTTTGGACATTTTTCACTTAGAAACTGATAATAGACCTTACTCTCCCAATACACACATTACTAATTGGATATATATACTGACTAATCATTATCTAAAATATATATACTGACTAATTTAATTAGCACTCCTTTCTCATCATCATATATATATCTTGAAAGCAATGAAGCAAATTCTGTACTGGGCCGTCCGTCTCTCAGGTCGGCCCAATGCCTTTGCGGTTTTGCAGGAATAAGTTCATTTAAGTTCCCTTAACTTATCCAACGAATCCAATTTTCGTCTCTCAACCGAAAAATCAGACACAACGAGTCCCTCAACTATCAAAACCAGTGCAGATTAGGTCCCTCGACGATTTTGAGGGCGGTTTTGGCTGACGTGGCACCTACGTGGCTAATTTGACTCGGTCTTCATCTGACGTGGCATTGACATGGCATTGACGTGGCGCTTACGTGGCAATTCGAGCCGGAAAAATAATAAAATCCTCGGGACCCACATATCAGTCTCACACAGAAAATAATAAAAAAATGGTGGGGCCCACGTGAGCCCCACATGTCAGTCACACATAAAATAATAAAAAAAAATAGTGGGACCCACGTGGGCCCCACATGTCAGTCCAACTCACCCTCCTCTTCTTCCTCCTCTCTCCCCATCTCCCCTCTTCATCTATTTCTCCTCTCCTCTCTCTCTCCCGGCGACGGAGAGGCAGCGGCACGCAGTGGTCGGCTGCCGGCGGGAAAGGAGGGAGCGGCGCAGCAAGGCGCGGCGGCGCAGCACCTGCAATGAAGGGGAGGAAGGCGAAGGGAGCTCCATGGGCGGCGGTGGGTTTGGGGAAGGGCTGGCGGCGGCGGGGAACTCAGTGGTGGCGGGGATGGAGGTGAGATCAGCGCGGGGTGGAACGGGGAGGTCTGCGCGGCGTCAACAGCAGCGGCCGGGCGCGGCGGCTCGGCACTGCGCGGCCAGGAGGCGGCGTAGGGGGGAGGAATCGAGGCGGCGCCGAGCAGAGGAGGGAGGGAAGGGGAGCTTCACAGGGCGGCGGTGGATTGGGAAGGCCAGAGCGGCGGTGTGGAGAAGAGGAGGCCGGCGGCGGTGGGGATGGAGAGGATAGCCGGCAAAGGTGGGGATGGAGAGGATGGACCGGCGTGGTGGGGAAGGGTGACACGAGGAGAGGCTGCCGCGGGCGACGCCGGCGCAGCCGTGCTCGGCTGAGCGACGGCCGACTCCGCGTGGCAGTGGGAATGGAAATGAGGGGAAA